AGTCACAGAAAGGCCACTAAATTGGATTTGTGATGAACTGTAGTTACCCGCCTTGATGTAGAAATTTTTTATAAATCTTGTAATGAGTCCACATGGAATAGGATTAGATGACAGCATTCTCATTGTCTAAGAAGTATGAAAGAAAGACCTGAGTTTGGATCCTGGCTTTGCCAGATAGTAATTCCACCTTTGATGAGTACCTTACTTTCCTTCTCTTTGCTCATCTATAAAGCGGAGGCTTTTTATGCGATTTCAGGAAGAAATGCTTTTTGTTCATGAAGGTGTTTATTTGAGAACAGTTTGGTTCACAAACAGAAGCATTTGGCAGAAGTTTGTTTTCCTCTCCATACGCTGCCTCAGGCGACCACCATGACCGTGTCCATCTTGCCTTCAGGAACGCGACAGATGTGGTCGTCTTTTCCAAGACTGCGGTACAGATTATGTTCCTGCACCAAGGTACTACTGTACCGTGGAGAGCTGTCTCGCGTAAGCTCCCGGCAAAAGGGAGCCACAGACGTCTATACTGCGCTGATTAGCATTTACGTTTCGCCAAGATCTGCTAAGCAAAACCTGATAAGCACGGATCCGGCACTTCCCTTAACCTACGTAGAATCTCGTGCCCTTCAGAAAGTATAACCCACGCGTGACCATTTTCCCTTCCGTGTTGGCCTTCGAAATTTCCCTGCAGTCGTAGCCAAAGCCTCACGGTAGGCTACCAGGGAGGGAGTCTCCCATCCTGAGCCGCTGGAGTCTCACAGAGGACAGCCTGTGGAGCATCGCAGCATCCTGAGTGCAGCCCAGAATGTTAACATCCATGTTTAGGGACACAAAGGACTAGTAAACAGAGTCTTTAACCCTGGTTTTGATCTTAAGCAACCAGCCACTTCTACAGTTCTGCTACAGTCCTCTCTTTCTGTCTCTCTCTCTCTCTGTTCCTGCCTCTCTGTGTCTGTCTCTGTGTCTGTGTCTGTTTGTCTCTGTCTGTCTGTCTGTCTGTCTGTCTGTCTGTCTCTCTCTCTCTCTCTCTCTCTCTCTCTCTCTGCTTCTAAGTGACTGTCCAAAGAAAACCCCAGCTGTGGTGTGCGTGGGTGCCTGTCCGCTCCCTGGAGCTTGCCTTCGCCTGCCCGCTCTCCTCAAGATAAGAGATGCTGATCTGTGTAGTTGACAGCTGGAAGGGAGCGGTGTGAGGCGTCTGAGATCTGAGGCACAAAAAGGAAGAGAGAGCCTAATTATCTGCTGTCCCTCTCCCGGCGTCCCTGCCACTCGGATCCGAGGCAAGTCCCTACACCAGGAGCAGCAGTGCAGCACTGGCTGGATCGCAGCCGTCTGCTGTTTTCGTGTTCTCCAGCTACTCTGTGCTTTGTGCACGAACGCTGATAGAATTCGATCCCTGGGCAGAAGTCTCTGTTGCCAGTTTCAGCGCTTCTGCCTTCCCTGTGTTCTCCTCCTGGTCATGACCTGTTGGTGGTGTGTGCACTCCTTAAGCTGCTCCGTTTCTGTGGCTGGAATGATCCCGACAGAGGGCCCGACACTGTCAGTCAGGATTCTTAATTCCTGCGTCGCAGAGCCCCTCTCTGGGGAGAAGTGCAGATGGGAACGGATGACGGCAGCTGCTTCCCGAATTTCACCTCTGAGGCCATGCCTGTCCCAGCAGCTGGGCCCGCACCTACCCCACGTGACAGCTTCACCGCCCACAGCTCTTAACCACTGACTGGTGTCGCCTGCCCTGCGCTGGCTCTACTCCCTGTGGAACTTCTTTGTAAAAAGGCTCAGACTCCTCTTAGTGTGTCCTAGAGACTTGAGGCTGGTAGAGTGGCGTGGTCACCTCCTGGTCCTTGTACCACTGTGTCTCCCTGTGAGGAGGCCAAAGAAGAGCTGTGGCTATCGCTTGGCGTGGTCATCAGATGTCCACGGAGAGGTGCTGGGTTGGCTTTCGTGGCTTCTCTACTTCCTTCAGCGCCATAGCGCGTCATGGTGCAGTCTGCTTTGAAGCTAGTTGTGGTTTCGAGCTGCTCAGATTTGTGGTCAGTTTGTGGCTTAGCACTTGTTCCTGTCAACCTCAGTCAGATTCAGTCTCTTCATCTGGAGAATGAAAACAGAGATGGCACCACTCTTTCAGAGATGCTTGGAAAATTCCTGGGCACTGCTGGGGAGCTCCAGCCCTTTGGGTAGTGCCGTGCCCCGTGCTGGACGCGGACACACGGACCCGGGCATGCGTGCTTCCTTGGTGAGAGCGTGCTCGAGTTTTCCTCTCACATCCGCAGCTTGGGCATCGCTGGGTTTCCACAAATAGTGCTTGCAAGCGCTTCCCCGTGCCAGTGCTAAAAATACACGTACGTTAAGTGAAATTTTGTTTTTTACGAAAGGAAAAGCACAGGCACAAATCATGAGATGATCATTGCCACCAGTTTCATGTACTATATGTAAACGTCTAAATTTTTGTTTCACTGAGGTTATTACAGTACTGATATCTTGATCATTTCTAGTTTTCCACTATTGTAAACTCTGCTTTGGTCTCTTTATGGCCAGTGTAGGAATATTTTTAAGGCTTCGGATAAGTATTGACACAGCTTTTGCTGTTGGAAATTTCCATCAGTAATCACCTACCTTCAAATCTTCAATTCTGAGAATTTTTTTAAACTGTTACTTGACATAAATGAAATTTCATTTACTTTCTTTCTTTTTTTTTTTTTTGGTTGGCTCAGCCTGCCCAGAGGGCAGGGCTGGCGTGGCATATGGTGCCGGGCATCGAACCACCATCCCCTGCACCTGCCTAAGCTTGCACTTTAGACCACTGAGCTATCTTGATGGCCCTTACTTTCAACTTATTATTTTGAAAATATTTTCTTTTTTATTTCTTTTAAAAGAGAATAAAAAGTAATTAAAAAGTTAGAAACGATAGAGAATTTTACTAAACAAGATGATTGGTGTTCAACTATGGTTGCTGTATTCCATATTGTTATCTTCAGATTAGTTGTTCAGGTTACCAGATGTAAGAATGCAAAATTGGTTAAAAAAAAAAAAAGAAAAATAAATTTAGGCATCAACTATTCCTTTCAATGGATCAGTAGAAATCAGAAGTACAATTGTTCCAGCTATCCTGTGTATATTCATGTTTTCTTTCCTTCCTTCCTTCCTTCCTTCCTTCCTTCCTTCCTTCCTTCCTTCCTTCCTTGTTTCCTTTATCCCAGTTGTTCCTTCCTTTTGAGCAATTTTTTCCCTTTTACAATATCTATTGTACTTCTCATATTTTATTTACTCTTTCAGGGTCTTGCACTAAGGAAGACAATATGATGTTTATATGTGTGGGTCTGATTTATTTCACTAATAAGTATAGTCTCTAGTTGCATCCATTTGTCTATAAAGGTCTCAAGTTTATTTTTCTTTATAGCTGAGTTATACTCCATTGTATAAAAATACAATACCTTCTTTATCCATTCCTCAGTTGATGGGCATCTGGGTTCTTTCCAAGACTTAGCTGTGACAAATTGTGCTGCTATAAACATGGGTGCATCTATATCACTCGCTATGATGTGATATTTTCAGTTCTTCTGGAAAAATACCCAGCAGGGTAATAGCTGGGCTGGATGGGTGCTCTAATCCTAGTTTTTTGAGGAATTTCCGCACCAGTTTCCGCAGTGGTTATGCTAGTCTACAGTCAGTGGAGAAGAGTTCCTTATTCCCCTCAGCCCTTCCAGCATTTGTTATTGGTTGACTTCTTGATGATAACCAGTCTGGCATGAGATGGAATCTCAGTGTTGTTTTGATTCGTATTTCTCAAATGACCAGTGCAATTTGGTTTTTGTTCATGCACTGTTTGCCTGTCTCTGTGGCTTCAAGATTTCTACCTCTTTCTCCTCCAGTAGATGTAATGTTTCTGTTTTAATATTTAGATCTTTGGTCATTTCTGTTTTAGTTTAGTGCATCATGATAGACGTGGGTCTAATTTGAGTCTTCAGCATATGGAAAGCCAATAAAAACATTTTCTATATGTATTCTTCCAGTTATTTCTGTTGATTAGGAGAACAGTTATAGGTCATATACATAGTCTTGTACTGTTACTTTCTTGTGAATATTTGTTCTCAAGTCATTTGCCTTTTGATTTTACTTACAATGAGATTTCTTACATCTTCTCTCTGTCCTTTTGTCCCCCTTTCTGTGACAGTGTGTCTACATCTCTATCACTCTTTGTTTCTTTAGTTGTATAAAAGTATGTTTATTTTGAGACAAAGCTATAATCTCTTCCTCTGTACCTTCTTGTTTTGCTAGAAAGTCACTTCTGACACAAGAATTTCAAAAATGCTATGCACCTGTATGTTCTTCCTAAGTTATTAATTTATCATGAATTGGTTTGGTATGAGTACAGGGTAGGCATCGATAATTTCACTAGGCATTATTACATCAAGAAAACTACTTTAAGAACCACTAAGTGTACAAAAATACAAAAAATGAATCCAATGGAAATGTATTTTAGATATATTTTAAATGAGCAATTACTTTGTCAGTGAAGAAGATCATAATTTGGCAATCTTAGCTCTTTGAAAATTACTTAGATTCCAGAGTCACCCTCTTTAGTTTCCGACTTGGCCAGGTTGATGATGCAGCGTTTGGAATTCACTTCGTCTTTTTCTCTCGGTGCCTCTTCTGCCCAACCCCACACACACCTGCCTTTCAGTTCAGCTTTATTAGTACCTGTTTGCAGTACATGCATTTTGCCGTCACCTTGGCTGCTTGGTAAATGTATCTCATGTTGCTCTGTCCTTTCTCTTTGGCATGGGCTGTTTTGGGTGCCACCTCTGCTGCTGAACAGCATCTTTCCAGGAAGTAGGGCTTGGTGGCTCTTAGTGCCTCTGTCATCTTTTCATTCAGTGAGTTCTTCACTATTACTCCAAACGTTGGTTTTCAGGTCTCTTGCCTGCTTTGAAACACGTGGAGAGGGTGACTTCACGCTGTGCTGCACCCAGAGATAAAGCACTAATGTCTGGTCTCTCCTGTTTCAGGAAAAGATGAAAGGCAAGAACAAGCTGGTTCCCCGCCTGCTGGGGGTCACCAAGGACTCAGTGATGCGTGTGGATGAGAAGACCAAGGAGGTGCTGCAGGAGTGGCCACTCACCACGGTCAAGCGCTGGGCGGCCTCACCCAAGAGCTTCACACTGGTAGGACTGCTGGGCGAAGAGGTCATGGGCGTGGTCCGGGTTGACACTGGGGATTGGGAGAAGGACCAGATCCTAACCTATTGGGTGGTGCTGGCTGCAGCCTGGGATGTGCTGGTCCAGAGGGTGGAAGTGGCCTAGATTTCTAGCCACTGTTTTCCTTCTAGATCTCTCCTGGTCTTCAAGATTGTTAACTGGGAAAGACCACTTGCCAGGGATGTCTCCCATGTGTCTTTGCTGATGTCCCAGCACATCCTGAAAGCAACCTGGTTCATGCTGGCAGGCTCATTCAGAAATTCCTAGGAACTGTGATCTGCTCAGGAATGTTTCCCTTTCTGCCTTGAAAGAGCACAGAATATACAGTGGAAACAACACAAATTGGAGTAACATCAAGGCTCCAGTGTGTCATTTCTTAGCTCTGTTGCCGTGTTCAAGTTGCCTCTCTTGTATGAGGCTCAATTTCCTCAGATATACAATGGGGCTAGTGAGAGCCTGCTTCTCCTGGTGTCACGCACTAAATGATGGTAATAAAAATACTAAAATTAAAGTGGATGCAGAGCAGGGAGTTGATGTTTGTGCAGTACCTTCCGACCTTTGAATTCCTCCCCCAGCCTTCAGTGTTTGCTGTTAGTGGAGTATGATCACGTGGCCTCAGGGCACCGTCGCCCTGTGCCACGACTGGGCAGGTGTTTTTGATGACAAGTTGAAGAATAAGAAAATCAAAAAAGCACTTGAACTTGTCAAGAGCCCCAGAAGGTCTTTGGAGGAACACTTGACAAATCAGTGTGCATCTAGATAAGACTCATAATAAGGCTTTTTTTAGGTGGATGAAAGGAATTGGCAAGGAGTAATTAGTCGTGGGATTTGGTCATCAATTGCTAGGCTCATGTCGGCTGGAAGGAGTCGTTAGAAACCGCACGTCGTGCTTCCTATAGGCAGTAGCAGTTGTACCTGCAGGACCCTTAAAAACTGTAGGAAATCTGGATTAGTTCTAAAATAAATAAGCCAGTGTGAAATTGTCGTTTAGAATGCTAGATGAAATGGCTGAAGGACTTGACAATTGACCTTCGGGCAGGGAGGTGGAAGGTAACGGTGTGGATCAGTACATAAACAGACAATTACGCTTTGGTATAAAAAATTTTTTAAATTTATGTTTTGTAGAAAGCTGTATTCGTGCTTATAATACGCAATATTTCTTTCCTTCCTACTCTTGCTTTTTATTTAATTTCCAAGTGTTTCAAGAGTTTTCTGTTGTCTCCTATTATTGATTTCTATTTTGATCCTATCATGGTCAATTGTAGGGATAGTTCCCTGTTGCCTTTCTGTTATTGATTTTTAGTTTGATGCCATTGTGGTCAGACAGCATTCCCAGTATGACATCAGTTTCCTTTTTCAATGTGAAGGTTTTGTTTTACATCATTCTCGATGGAGGTTCTGAGCGTGCTAGAAAAAAAAATGCGCATTGTGCTGCTTGGTCATTGTGTTCCGTAAACACGCGTTAAATCTCAGCTGTTAGTGTGTTCTATGGCGCTGCGGGTTTGTTAATTGTTTGACTGGCGATTCTGTCCTTCTTCTGAGAGTGAACTCCTCAGCAGTAATTGTGGAATTTTCTGTTTCTTCCAGCTGTGTCAGTTTTTGTCTCACAGCTTTGGAAAGCTTGTTATTTGCTATCTGTGTGTTTGCAGTCTGTGCCTTCTTCACGGAGACACTGTTTTGTCCTTCCGTAATGTTTTGCTTTAGTAACGTTTTCTTCTGACGCCTACTTTCCAGGGCGTTTACGTACCCACTTCTGTCTGGAGCTGGGGATGGAGCTTGGTGTTAGAAGTATTTGTCTAGTGCACGCAAGGCTCTGGGTTTCATCCCAGTTCTGGGGAAAAAAAAATTAAGGTTTGTATAACCCGTCTTCTGCAGTCCTTTTACACTCAGTCTACATAAAGTCTTATCTTTGAAATGACTTTCTTATAAGAACATAAGTAGTTGGGTTGTGGTTTTTTTCCCTATAATCCGTTCTATCACTTGCTTTCGATTGGTATGTGTAGATTATTAATATTTAAACTAATGACTGACATTGGAGGTTGTCTTTCATTCTATAAATTTTTTCTTCTGTTTTTCTCTCTTTTTTTTTTACTTCCTATTGGTTATTTCATTTTTAAGAGTTGAATCTGATCTATTTGTTTTTGGTAGATCACTTTACATAATGTTCTTAGTGATTATTGTAGATGTTGACATTTGTACCTTTGAAACTAATTATAGCCTACTGGCCTGTTGGAATTTTAAACCCTTATAGCCTACTGGGGTGTTGGAGGTATAAAACCCTCATTTCCAAGTTCGTCTCTACCCTTCCTAACTTTTGAATATAATTGTTTAAGTATTTCCTTTATACATGTTAAACACATGAAGTAGTCTTACATTTTTCCTTCAAACATAAAATACGATTAAAGTACCTCATAAAGGAAGGATAGTCTGTTATATTTATATCTTTTTTTTTTAAATTAGTATATGGTAAACCAGACAGGGAAGCTGAGGCAGGAGGATCATTGAGAGTTTGAGACCAATCTGGGCTACAAACTGAGCTCAAGGCCCCCCTGAACTGCATAGGGAGACCATGTCTCAAAAGACCAAAAATTAACAAATCAAAGTACATGTTACTCAGAATTCTTTAGTTTGATTAAATTCTTGCAAACTATCCCCTATGTAATTTGAGATACAACGCAGTGCCCTAACGTGTAGTTTTTAACTAATAGATGATTTATTATGACACATCAGCTTGGTTTCTGTTTAGATAAAACCACACTACACTCTATTAATCATTACGTGTGACTGAATTTTCTTTACAGTTATTAAAAATCTATTTCTAAATCTACAGAATAAAACTTTTAAAATGCAGTGCACACATGCATGTGTGTGACGTGATATGTTGTATTTCACGTTTGGAAAGATAACTAGGAGAACACCTAGGTCACATGAAATTTCTGCAGTGTTTTAAGGACCTCTATGGTGATTTCCATAATGGTTGTATTAGTTTACATTACCAACAGCGTAGAATGGTTCTTTCATCCTTACGACCTTGCCAGCATTTGTTATTATTTGATTTCTTGATATCCATTCTTGCTGTAAAGTGGAATCTCAGCCTTGTTTTAATTTGCATTTGTCTGGTGAACAGCGATGTTGAACATTTTTTTCCACGTACTTATGTGCCATTTATATGTCTTCTGAATGGCGTCTATTCATTTCAATTGCCCGTTTGTTGATTGGGTCACTTATTTGGAGGGGTTCTAATTTTTTTAGTTCTTCATAAATTCTAAATATCATTTCTTTGCCTGAGGGCTGGCTGGCAAACTTATTTTTTATCTTGTAGGTTCTTCACTCTGTTGGTTTTTTCCTTTGCTGTGCAGAAGCCTTTTAATTTGATATGATCCTATTTGTTGCTTTTTTATGTGACGTATTGTGCCATTAAGGTTCTGTTCCGAAAGCCCTGGCCTGTGCCTGTGACTCTGAATTTTTGTCTATTTTGTCTTTCAGCAGATTGTTTCTGTTTTACTATTTGGATCTTTGAGCCATTTTGAGCTTCGTTTAGTACATGGTGAGAGATTGTGGGCCTCTGGGTTCAGTGCTCGGCACGCAGATAGCCAGTCTTGCCAGCGCCATGCTGCAGTAAAAAGGTTCTCCTTCCCCCAGCCAGTGTTTCTGGTCCTTTCGCAGAGATGAAGACAGCTGGGAGGGGTTTCTGTAGCTCTTCCCTGCTCCACTGGTGCCTGCTTAGGTGCCAGTACCACGCTGCTCTTACCGCTGTAGCTTCGTATTAAACTTGTTCCCCAGGATTGCTTTTGCTGTTGTGGGCCTCTTCTGGTCCCATACGCACTTGAGGATTGCTTTTCCTAGGTGTGTGAGGAATGCTGTTATTTTTATTAGGATCACGTTAAATTCCTGTATCAGCTTAGGAAAATGATGCCGTTCACAATAATGTCAAGAAATATGCAATACTTGGGAAACAACCTGACAAAGCAGGCAAAAAGGCCAATACAACGAAAACTTTATCTTTTTTTTTCTTGGTGCAGAAAATCGAACTCAGGGCCGCTCACTTGCCAGGCAGGTGCTGCACCCCTGAGCCACATCCAAGGTCCTGTATCTATCTTTATGTACCTCATTTTCACATTCCCAGCCTTCTGTTACCATTTTCTTTATGTTTTGGAAACTAACTCCCTCTAGGCCTTCTTCAAGATGAGCCTGAGTCTTAGGTTTCCCTGACCTCAGAATGTTTTCTTCTTTGTTGGTAAAGGATAAATTTGTCAGACGTTGTGTTTGGGATTGTCATTTCTTTTGTTTTAGGACTTTATAAGTGGCACAGTATCTTCTTACTGTTTTCGGAAGAGAAATTTGTTATTACTGAAGTTACGATTTGCTTAGAAGTAATATCATATTCCTTGGTGGTTTTTCAGATTCTTAAAATTTATTTTTGGGGGGCTGGGGAGATGGCTCAGTAGGATAAGCACTTGCCTGGCAAGTGCAAGGGCCTGAGTTCAATGCACAGTTCTGCAAAAAAAGAAAGAAAGAAAGAAAGAAAGAAAGAAAGAAAGAAAGAAAGAAAGAAAGAAAGAAAAAATATATATGTATATATATACACTCACATACATATATTATACGTATTTTTTATTTATTTATTTATTTATTTGGTATTCAAAATTGTGTTAGTATGGGTTTCTTAGCATGTATTCTATTTTGGTGTTTTTCCAGGTTGTAGAATTTGTAGGTTTACACCATTTAGGTTTATTTCTTATTTTAGTTTCTTGAGGACTCTGTGATGATTTCCATAGTGGTTGTATGCGTCTACGTTACCAGCAGTGTAGAATGGTTCTTTCTTCCTTGTAATCTTCATTATTATTTGACTTCTTGATGGCCATTCTTACTGGAGTAAGTTCAGTGAGTCTGCCTGTCTCGTTCTTAGATTTCAGCAGTTATATCCTTCCAATCTCACTCCTTTTGAGAGAGACTTCCACAGTTTTTTTTCTTCTTGTTTGCTCTCGCATTGAGCCCTCCTTTTGTTATTCTGATGACGTTATTGTTGTTAGACCTTGTTTCCCCAGGTCCCTAAAGTCACTTTTTTTCTCTTTATTGTTCAGATCGATTAAGTTCTATTGATCTCATTTTAGATTTATTGATTCTATTCTCTGTAATCTCCCTACTAACGTCTAATTTGTGAGAATTTACATTTTAGATTTTTTTTTTCAGTTCTATAATTTCTGTATTTGGTTCTTAGCTATAACTTTGGTTTCTTTGAAACCTTAGTTTTCCTCATTTGTTCCAAGACTAGTCGTAATTGATTGTGGGAGCATTTTTTATGGCTTGTGTCAGTGAGCTCTCCTGTTGCTGGGGCCCAGCCCAGCACCCAGCACCCGCAGCGCGGAGGACACAGCTCCTGCTTTCTATCTGTGATTGGCTGGTCCAAGCAGAAATAGCCAGGTGGCGCAAAGCTGTTCAGTCCCCCCATGGAGGCAAAGCAGGGAGGAGCACCAGGAGAAGGGCCTGGGGTCCCTGTGTAGGTCTCGGGGTCGCAGTGTCATGACCTACCCACCAGGCGCAGAAGCGTGCTTTCCTAGTAACCCCCTAGACAGCCCCTCGGCCAATCACGTTGCTGAACTTAGCATCCGTGTGGCTGCTTTAGAAATCCTTTTCACGTAAATCTAATATCAGGTATTGCCATCATTTGTCTCCTGGTTCCTAATCACGGTCGTCCTGGTGCCTGACATGAATAATGACTTTTTATTTCATCCTAGACAGCTTAATGATTAAGTAAGGAGACTCTTGATCTCACTGATGTCTGTTTTGGCGGACAGGCCCCTCACTCGAGTTCCAAGTGCAGTGTTCTGGCCTACTTTATGGACTTTCGTTTTTCTGAGCCCCTGTAGTGCTGTTCTGGATGGCTTTGTCCTTTTGATCCTGTTTGAGTTTGTACTTAGACCCTGTTGGTTCTTTTGGTGCGAACAGAGGGTGCTTTCCTGGGCTTCTGTGCAGGAAGGAAGGAGAAGCCAGCAGGCCTGAGCCTCTTTGTGCCACTTGGAGGAAGGCAGGGAGTCACAAGCCTTCACCCCTCCGCTCCTCACCTCCCGCTTTATACTTGGGAGCTCTGGGTTTCACTGCCGCACACTTGATGTGTGCAGCCACCCAGGCTGCCGTGGTAGCGTGGTGGCCTCAACCTAGGACCCTGTTGGGTTTGCCCTGTCCTGGTCCCGTGGCCAGAAGATGAGGCTTTTCAGGAACGGCCTACTGGAGGCTCCACTAACCGAGCAAACCTCTCCAGCTCCCAGTCTTGGGAGACATAAGGGCCTAAAAGAACCCCTAGCAGCGCACCCCTTGGAATACCTTGTGTCCCTGGGCCCCCAGCCAGTCTACCTTTCCAGTTTCACCATTGTTGTATGAATTCTGGGCATTCAGTTTTATTTAGAGGGGAAGAAAAAGGAAAATGTGTGTGTCCTAGTGTTCCGAACCGGCTCTCCGAGGCTGGGCAACTGCCGGGGATCTAATGAAGCCACACTTCTGCTCTTGCTGCTTTTCTTTCCTTCAGGATTTTGGGGAGTATCAGGAAAGCTACTACTCAGTCCAGACCACCGAGGGAGAGCAGATATCCCAGCTGATCGCAGGATACATCGACATCATCCTCAAAAAGGTATCTCACGCTGTGCAGATCGGAGCAGCAGCTCTGCTCAGATGCTGTGGCTACCTTGAAAGAAAATCCCTTATTCACTAATCTAATCTTGGACCTCAGAAATCCCTTGGGAATTTCTGGCTCTGCCGCAGCGCGTGTCCCTTTCATTCCCAGCCGGGTTGTGAGCGATGCGGCCCCAGTTAGTGCATGAGCTGAGCTGACCCTTGGGCTGCGTCCTCCCTGGTGCGCTTTTGCTTTCTAGCCCTCATGGAAACTCAGCTGGAGGGGCTGGTGGTGTTCTGCGTCATTTTCATGGGGGGGGCTTGTTTTCCCCAAATTTAGTGGGGCAGTATGCTGTGTGGTTTGCAGAAAAAATACATTTCTTACAGGCCTCAAAATCCAGCCCTTTCAAGTAATCAGGTTGTAATAAAATGAAAATATATGCACCTTGATTTTTTTCGGCTTTGTAATATCCGTGTAATAAGATAACCTAGATAGCTATATTAAATCTTGTGTTTTAATTATTTTATCATGCTATGTTTGAGCATCACTTATTTAATAGCCAGTACAAGCAATTTAGGACAAATGTTAACATTTTTGTTTGTTTTTCTTCACAAGTTCAGTTCAAAGGCCTCGTTTGTCAGTGTCTGCTAGCTGTCACCTTTACGTCTTGTTTTACCTCTAGAAACAAAGCAAAGATAGATTTGGACTAGAAGGTGATGAGGAGTCAACTATGTTAGAAGAATCAGTCTCCCCAAAAAAGTAAGTATGAGGAGCACTGGGGACCCGCCCTCTCCGAGGTGGGCAGCTCTCCCCCACCTGCTCTGCAGCCTGTCACTCCAAGCAGTGCCCCGGGAGGAGAGGCTAGTGGGGGCCATAGTCAAGCCTTGCTCTCCCGGGCTTCGTCCTTAAACCAGCATTGTGGGTATCACATCTGTCTTGGCGGCTGGGGTGGTGACTTCAGGAAGCCTGAGTTGGAGATCATATTGAGCTCTACTTTTAGAGCCAGTGAGGCTTGACTCCTCTTCTGCATTTAAGTGCTGTAAATTGGGTTAGCACCGTGGAGAAGCTGGGAATTGGCTGCTGTTGGATCCCGAGCCTTTGAGGGGAGGGCACTCAGCATGTAGCTGGTCGAAGAGTTCCTCTCTGTGACAGAGCTTGTCCCACAGGCCATGGGGCAGCAGAGGGGTAAAGGAGCTGGATACTGGAGCCCACCTTCCTGGGTTCCAGCCTAGGGTCCGCTTTACTCTGTGGCCCTGGACTCTGTCCTTGCATGAGCCCCTCTGAAAGCTCGGGGTGGTGATGAAATGTTCCCCTGGAAGTGTTTGGATGACTGATTACTAGGAAAGTGCTTCAAGCATTGCCTGGTGCATAGTATATGAGACTGTTACGATCATGATCGTGTTTTGTTCAGAACTGTCTCAAGTTAATGCCATTTATAGATGAGTAGCAGATTTATTAAAACTAATGAACACCTCATACATGGTGCTAGGAATCTGCAGATACCCTTGTATGTTGAGTAGACCTTTGTCCTCACTGTTCTCGTCTCCATCTTCCTGTGTCTAATGTGATGTCTCATTTGATCCAACTAGAACTCTGTGCACAAGAGATAGGCCCAGATGTTATCCTGGATTTCGGAATGAGGAAATCATAAAGGTCCTGAAGTTAGTTGAGATGCACATGAGTGGCAGAGACAGGATGCAGGTCCAAATCCTGTGGTGGTCTCCACTGCACATAGTCAGGAAGTTCTAGCATATTCCACTGTTATGCTCTTGCTTAGCCTGCGCTGTGATTTCTCTGGCATTTTACCCTTTCTATTGGTTTCTCAAAATTTGCTTCCTCATTATTCCAAAGGTACTTTTTCCATTTGTCCTTGTGCTAATTGTTTTTCTCGTTACTGAGACAAAATACCCGATGCCCAAAATTGAGGAAGGAAAGGTTTACTTAGCTCACAGTTTGTGCAGGTTTCAGTCCATAATCAGCTGGCTCCAAGGCAGGGTGGCGTGGCAGAGGCGCAGCCATTTATGATGGTGGAAAACAGCAAAAGCAACAAGAGCCAAAATAGAGGAGGGCAAGAGAATGAGGGCTGCCGGCCCGAGGGTGCATATAGCATTCACACCTATAATCCCAGCACTAGACAATGAATCAATCCCAAACTCTAGATTCAGCCACCCCCATGGCTGCATGAGGCTTTGAGGGGCCATGTGGACACAGAGCATCCCCATGACAACATAAGATGGAGCCAGTATGGATGGGGTGCATTCCAGGGCCCTCTGGCAGAGCACCTATAAGGGCTTGGAGTTATAAGCGACCATTCCCTGGGAATTCCTAAACTAGTGCTTCCTGACAGGGTGAGCACTGTCACCTGAAGAAGACCTGCCACCATCAAGTTTCAAAGACTCAGAGTCTTTCACACCTACTACTCAGTCTAAGAAACCATCAGAATGTAAAATGTTGAAAAATATCTTGTTAGACTCCCATAGATGAACATCTTTCCTATTTTTAGTAAAAACCTCCTTGTAATGTACCAGAGTCTCTCAAAGCTCTAGAAACCAGGAAACATCCTCCATGGCCTTGATCCTAGGGGAGGGGAGCTGAGAGGTGAGAGGCTTTCTTTCAGTTCACTTGGACATTTGTCCCTTCAAGCTAAGGACAGATGACCTGCATCTCTGATTTCCAAAATGGGAACTGGCCTCAGACATTTGTTGAATCAGTGGTCTTACGGCGTGGTTTGCCTAATAATATGTCACTACATCCAAACTTGCACTTGGGACATCACAATTATATTATGGGCTTGGTTTTATCATTAAGTAAAAACAGTGCAATGGTAGCACGGACGTATTGCTGGATAGAGAGACGCTGTCTGTACTGCTGAAGGGGAAAGCTACACCTGGAGATCTTCCACTCGCCTTTGGTACTCCAGCTTCCTTCCCAAGTCCCTTCTAGACGTGACTCTCTAAAGTGCTCTCCACTGCATGCCTCAGCAGACGTCTGTGGCATCTGCAAGGCCGTCTCCTGGTGATCTGCATGCGTGGCTCCTTCCAGTGACTGCCGCCTTTCCCGCAGGTCCACCATCTTGCAGCAGCAGTTCAACCGGACAGGCAAGGCGGAGCACGGCTCCGTGGCGCTCCCGGCTGTGATGCGCTCAGGCTCCAGCGGGCCGGAGACCTTCAACGTGGGCAGCATGCCCTCACCGCAGCAACAGGTTATGGTTGCGCAGATGCATCGAGGCCACATGCCCCCGCTGGTGAGGACCCCTGTGCTCGCTCGCGGGACGGCAGCATGCCCTGTGTGAGGGGCCACCCTAGCGGTGGTGATGGGTGGCAAGAGGGAGCTGTCCAACTCCCATGTGGACCAGGGCGCGTGTTATAGACTGTGGCTTTGCTCACTCCTGTGGAGCGGAGCTTTCCTGCATGGCTGGAGAGTTAGTGCCTGTCAGCGTGACTTGGGCTGCGAGCGCAAAGCTCTGCTCCCTGCTGCTGCACCAGCAGCAAGCCCCACTGACCCAGATATGGAAGTAGACTGAGTCTTTAGTGACCAGGATGTCTCGCCCAGAGTCAGCTGATTTCTTGTGACTTTCGGTCTATGTCTGACTCAGTGCCTCTCGGACCTGCCTTGGGAATCTTGTTGCTTAAGGGCTTTTGAAAGGTCAAGAATCTAAAGATTAGCTATAATTTGACTCTTTGTTGTCTATAAACTTGAGTGGAATCTTTCAGTCCTGCTCACAAAATGATCTTGTTTAGGGCTGGGGATATTATTCAGTGCCACAGTGCCTTCCTGGCCAGCGTGAGGTCCTAACTTTGATTTCCAGTACCAAGAAAAAAACAATGACTTAACACACTCACGTTTGCTGTGCATGAGATCTTTTGTCCTCAGTACTGAAAGATTCGACTTCTTCGCTTCCCCTGCAAAGACTTGTGAGGCTTCTGTCGGCTAATTAAGCTCTCCGCACTCTGATTATGATCCCTCCACTGCAGTCACCTTCGTTTCATATTCTATTAATATAGTGTAGGGTCTATTCCTGGCCCCTCATTGAAATGGGAGGTGGCGCAGGTGCTCGCTGAGATGTAGCGTTGACTGAGCTCAGTTGGCCTTGCTCTGTTTCGCCTGGCGGGTCATGTCAGTCCCAGGCACGTGCCGTGACCGCCTGTGCTCTCTGCCTTCGCAGACCTCTGCCCAGCAGGCTCTGATGGGGACCATCAACACCAGCATGCACGCTGTTCAGCAGGCCCAGGACGACCTCAGCGAGCTCGACTCGCTGCCACCGCTCGGCCAAGATATGGTAAAGAGTGATCTGTGGGTTCCATGCTGTGTCCTTTCATAAACAGAACGGTTCTGTGCTCTGTCTGAATTCAACCAAGTGAATCTCTGTCGCCAGTTAGGTGGCTAGAAAGGTCTTGGATCTTGTCTGTCTGTTGCGTCCTGGGAGAAGAGTTGTTGCTGATGGCTGTGAGCCGTACCACTGGTCTGGGAGCTTGGATCGCAGGCCCCCTCCTCCTCACTGGCTGTGTGACTCGGGCAGCTTCCCCTCTCTGAGCCTCACCCTGGTCATCCCTACAGAGAGCTGGGTGGAGTCAGGATGACCCAAATACTCACACTGTTCTTTCACATGCCTGACGTGTACGAGAGCTCAGTTAGCATTACCTGGTGTTACCAGGGCTCCTCAAGCTCTGGCACACCTCAGAGTCGTTTCAAAGGCTTGTTAAAACACATGGCTGTGCCCTCCCTCCGTCTCTTATGCCTCTGCAGGTCTGGCACTGGGCCTTCGAAAGTGCAGTTCCAGTAATGCCCAAGATACTAATGCTGTTTTTGGGGGCCAGTGCTTTGAAATCCTTTCAAGTTTCTACAGTACTATTGAGCTTTGTAATAGGGCAGGAAGGTTGGCCCAGAGTCCCCTTCCTGCAGCTGCTGCTGTGTTAACCAGCTAAGTCCGCACCCCTCAGATTGTGGCCTGTGGGCACACGACAGTGACAGCACTCAGGAACCTGTGATTCGTTGGCCTGCTCCTGCCTTCTCTGTCAGGATCCGAGCCCCCACTGGCCTGCAAGCCCCCTGACGCTGGCAGAACACTGGTTGGGGCCTCTGCTTCACCCTGGCTCTGATACCAGCATCACCTAAGGGAGCCTGGAGCATCCTAAGGCCCCTGCTCTACCCACACTGACAGTGTCACATCCAGATTGTCCCAGATGCTGTCCCCTGTTGGGCGCTGCTGTGCACAGAGGCTGCTGGTATCCTCTCGTTCTCCCTCTTAAGGCCCTGAAACGATTAAGCATTTTGCTCTGGAAAACTTCAGAGTGAAAATGTAGCAGATTCTCATATCCAGACAGCCAGGAGAGACATCTTTAAAATATTCAGATGGAACGTTCCTGCTTTGCCAACTTTCAAACAATTAGAAATACAGTCAGATGTTACAGTGCTAGATACATCATAAGTCTAGATTGATACTTCTGTGATGTTTTGGAAAGCCAGTCTGACTGATACATTCATCATAAGTGGTTGATAAGACAAGTCCTGAAACGCCAGAAAATGGAAATTTTAGTGCTGTTTGCTTGCTTTTTCTTAATACATTGAAATATATTTTTATGAGTGCCTAGTTTTAAAAATACTTGGTTTCAATGTGATATTTTCATACATACATACGGTTCTTATCCATCTCTGCTCCTGTTCCCTTCCTCATGTCTAATAATAGAGCTTTTACTGTTGATAGTTTCAAACAGAGTGTGGGAGCTGGGAAAGTTATTAGAAGCCATTGAATTCCTACAGTAAGGAAAAGAGAAGCCCAGGACCTGGGTGTCCTCTGCAGTGTTCCCCACTGCCTTCTGTGGAGGAGCTACGTCCAGACCAGGGGTCTCGGAGTGTCTCAGAGTGGCCAGGGAAGTTTAGAACCATTAATAATTCGCCTAAGACACAGGGAGAGTGGATATGCCAATCTGTGTGTCTCCGAACATGTAAAGGGGCCGTTAAGGATTTGGTTCAGGACAACCCAAGGGCCCGTTTGTTGCTAGCCCGGTCAGGACAGTGTGGCCACACTACCGCTTTCCGGTCTCCTGGGCCTCCTGCCCCCTGATTGTGTCGTGCTGTGTCTGGCCTTGCAGGCGTCGAGGGTGTGGGTTCAGAACAAAGTGGATGAATCCAAACACGAAATCCATTCTCAAGTTGATGCTATTACAGCTGGAACAGCTTCAGTCGTTAACCTCACGGCTGGTAAGTCCCTCGTGGTACCCTGTGGTTTTGTGCAGAAAAGAAAGTTGTTCTGTTATTGAAACAGCAGATTTTCATAAGAGAAGAGAGTCTATTTTTAAGCATGTAGCTTAGTTTAGGCATTTTCTTCCAGTGATTCAGGAGAAATGTAAGGAGCGTCTCCTTCCTCTCTGGAGGTGTCACGTGCCATCCTTCACAAGCATTTAGCTGGCTCTCCTTGTGGTCACCGCGCAGCTGAGGCCAGCTTCTCCCTCCTGGGAGCTGATAGCCTGAGCACCACAGTGAACACAGGACTCCATCACCCACGCTTCTGCCCATCTTGCCCCTCGGTCTCCTCTGGCGTGGAAGGACTCCCAGCTAGAATACTGGCTGCGCTGCACAGTGTCCTTAGGTTTCGGGAGAAGTGTTGTGGCCTCAGCTGCTAGTGGGCACCTGGAAGAAAAAGGCAGTGCCGTGCTGAGGGTGAATCTCCAAGTGCCTGTGCCCGTTATCTCAGCATGGGAGTCCCCCAGGGGGAGGCCCGTGCGGGGGCAGCCTAGAGACAGCTGTGTCCATCCCACTGAGCCCCCACAGAGCTGTGCCCTGGCTCCTGCAGGGCGGCATGGGATGAGCCCTCTCCACTGTGCATCTTGCTCTGCCACGCCTGGGTCCTGTCCTTTACCTCCTGCCCGCCTGGGTCCTCCTCATCCCTCACCTCTCACTCCATCCTGATGCCTCCCGTGCCCCAGGTGACCCCGCAGACACTGACTACACGGCCGTGGGCTGCGCCATCACCACTATTTCTTCCAACCTGACGGAGATGTCCAAGGGTGTAAAGCTCTTGGCGGCCCTCATGGATGATGAGGTGGGCAGCGGGGAGGACTTGCTCAGAGCTGCGAGGACCCTTGCTGGGGCCGTGTCTGACTTGCTGAAAGCTGTGCAGCCCACTTCTGCAGAGGTGAGTTCTCTGGTTCAGATGAGGCAGCGGCATCCCCTGGGATGCCGGGCTCCAGTCCCCCACTCTGTCCCTTCCACCCTTGCAGTGCTTGTTCACCCCCGGTAACCCTGAGAGTTACTAACATGGGTACAGATACTGCTGTCCAACCTTTATGGTCAGTAGAGCTCTTAGTAGGAATCCTCCCAACAAAGGGATCCAATGGGACGCAACCCCAACACCCTAACGCCCATGACTGCTGCACATTTAAAGAGGATAGGAGTCCGTGCCCCTGTCTTCATAAAGCATACACCGTAAAGTTATTACTGCCTGAGGCTCATCTAGTGGATTTGTAACCCAGCCACCTATTGCTGGTTTATGAGACACGAGCTGTTTCCTTGCACGGACTTTGCCAGGAGGTTTTTGTCTTTAATCTCGCAAACAGTCTAAGATTCCAGGTCATGATTAAGAGGGGTGAGTCCTGCGTAATTCCTGTCCAGGCTGCTGCGTCTGAGGTCACAGTAGAGGAAGTGTAGTTTTTATTGTTGTTGTTTAGTGTATTTAGTACAGGGTCTCACCACACAGATCAGACTCATAGCGGTCATCCCCAGTGCTGGGATTACAGGTGTGCACCACCATGCCCAGTCTCAGTTGCCATCTCACACGCAAGGCAGAAATGCAGTTTCTATCTGAAGTGCATTCTCTGTTCACAGCCTCAGGGCTGGGGAGACAGCTCATTAGAATAAGTGCCTGCCTGGTAAGCGCATGGTTCTGAGTTCAGTCCCCTAGTATCAAGAAAAAAAAAAATCTATTCACAGCCTCGACAGACGGTTCTGACTGCTGCCGGGAGCATCGGACAAGCCAGCGGGGATCTCCTGAGGCAGATCGGCGAGATCGAGACTGATGACCGATTCCAAGTAAGACGTGCAGTCTCGCGGTCTGGAACGGAATCTGAGCCACGGCACAGACCTGAGCAGGGAGAGCGCAGGGGACAATAAAGCAAATCTTCCTGGTGCCATTGGGCATAAGATTCTGGGGCATTATTTGAGGAGGGAGGTTTTTTTAAATGTTAATTTTAAAAAATTCTTGAATGGAAAAAGTCATTTTGCTTACATCATACGTCATTATCCTAAACCATTCGTTTAGCTTTTCTGATTATCAATTTCCTAGGCGTTGTGTACATACACAGCATACACCTTTACCCATAGGGGTACTTGGGTGTCTCGCTCGCCACACAGGAGGCGGCACACCCTTACATTGCAGTAAGTGTCCCCTAGTGCAGGACAGGCGTTCAGCACACTCACATTCTTACCATGAGGGCGGATCTCCAGGGTGACTTCCCGAAAGCCTTTCTCCACCTAGCTGGCCAGGAATAACTTTAGCATTAGTACAGTTAATTACAGGCTGCATCAGATTATCCTGCAAGTCCAGGCTGATGGTGTCCCTGTCCAGATTTCCCTTCCAGATCCTTAAACGGTCCTTGCATTGGTCTTGTTTGCTTTAGCCAGGGAGCCTTGGTAGGCAGGTTCCTCCATAGAGACATAGTAGATTTAGCTGCTGGTCTGCTAGGCCTAATTCTCTTGAAGTAGCCAGTTTATTTTCCTCAAAAATATTAAAGGGTGGTGGAGGAGAAAGTCATCATTCTTCCTTAAGGCATCTTATGCGTTGTTTTAGTTTTTTAAAAAATTAATTTTATTGAGAAACGAATACCAATGAGACAATTTCAAAACCAATTAATTGGACAGTTTCAATAATTAATACATTGCATATTATTGTCCTCATAGTGGTTATTCATAGTACAAGTTTCTGACGTGATACCCTGTCCAAACACTATTAGCACAAATCTTTCTTCTCATTGAATTAAGAGAAAGTATCTGTATATCTATCCTAACTATTTTGTGTATACAGATACAGAATGGTCCTTCATTTGTATCCCCCTTTTTTTCTTTAGTTTTGTCAGAGATGGGTATGAAAAGTATAATAACGAGGTATGTTTCAGTTTTTAGAGCCTTTTCTTTTTCTCCTTTGACAGATTGTTTTTATTGCATTGGAATGCAAGTTCCTACTTCCTGATGCGCTAGGGAGACGAGGGTGGGTTCAGTGCTGCTTTGGTTTGTGTGAGACCCCGAGGTAAGGGCAGCGCAGCCAGAGGTCCTCAGCCTCCCGCCCCCAGTGAACATAGCCTGTGGCTCATCGATGCTGCGTCTCTTTTTTCCTGAGTCTTCAGATCCCGTGTCAGAACTTTTCCAGGGTTCTGTGTATACTACACATTCCCAGCATTAACAAAGATTTGTTTTACCCACGCTATATAATAGTTGTCTTGTTGAAGTTTGACAAAGGCCTTTCTCACGACTGTAGCTGTAGTATTGCATTGTTCCTCCAACTGTATTTTTTTTTATAAAATGAATAGAAGAAACAGGATTTTATTTAAGAAAAAGCAATTCTAACAAAACCATAGATTTTTTTTTTTTTTTTTTTTTGTGGAACTGGGGATTGAACTCAGGTTGTTGTGCTTGCCAGGGAAGTGCTTATTCCACTGAGCCATCTCCCCGGCCCCGAATAATTATATTTTTACACAGCGAAACCCTATCCTCATTGGGAAAGAATGAATTTACATCAAGGGAAAGAATGCTGTGGCCCTTCTTTCACATTTTAAACCTTTTCAGTAAGCTGTGACCTTGGAGGTGTTTTCCCTGAGCTTTGAGGTAGGTCCCCAGAGCCACAGCTTTGCAGGACAAGTGCCTAGAAGTTGTGTGGCGGGCTGGGCCCAGTCAGCTCCCAAAGGCTTCCTCACAACCTCAGTCTTCATTTCACTCTTTCCCAGTCTCCCCAGTGCCCATCACAGATCTGTGAAAGACTGGACTAGATGGTTCCTTTAGGGCCGCTTGGATTTTGTTCACTGTAGACTCTGCCTCCTCAGTAACTCAGCTTCAGATTTGCGTATGTCGCATACAGTCTCTGTTCCCTGCATAATCACACGAGATGATCGCTCTTGCCAGTGCATCCGCTCATAAAATATCTCATTGTAAAGACTCTGTGGGTGCCCTTTGCATGTAGAATCAAAAGTGCTTTTTATTATCTGATGAATTAATAAAGACTTCTGACCACATTTCCTCTGGGGGAAGAGCTTTGACATGTTTGCTCAAAATAACAGGGGCTCATATGTTTGGGAAGGCATTTCTAAATCAAATAAACTGCTTTCAGTATTAAAAGCAGAGATGTAAATTAAATGTAACAGTGGTTATTCTCCAGGTCAAACAGATGGGGGACGCATCTGGTAGGCCAGTTCCAAGGGTCCTCCATCCAGCAGGCAGAATGCCTTTTGGTTGATTTGAATCATCCTTAAAGGCTCAGCGCTCCTTTTTTCTGGAGTCAGAGCGTCTTGTAGCTCATTTATTTATGTAGGTTGTCTTTCCCCTCTCCATAATAACGTCCTTTCCAGAGAGCCGCAGATGCTGAGAATAGCTTATGTTCTGAGCCTTCCTTGGCTCCCGGGCTGTGGCTGTCGGTGCCAGCTGTCTGTCTGCACGTCCAACGTTGCCCTCTGCAGGCAGAGCTGTGGCTGGTTTCCTCATGGTAACTTGGCTCCCATGCAAACCAGAAATCCAAGAGATAAATTGTCAAGTTCTAGTGGGGCGTGATGACTTGGAGGCTGTAATCTCCCTGCAGCACACAGAGTTTGCAGCATCTTGACAATTTGCTAGCTTCTTCTGATGCACAGTATCCATCCCATGGTCCAGAAACGTGACCAAGACTCAGTGTTCGATGAGTCCATGAAAGTGAACCCTGGTGAAAATAAAACTCCGTTCCTTCCAAGTAACCCCTAAAGATTATAATGAGGTAGATGCCACATTATATCTTCAGGATATGAAAGAAAGCTGATTAACACGTAACAAGTAGTCTTGGATTCCCTTTTCCTAGGATGTTTTAATGAGTTTGGCCAAAGCGGTTGCCAATGCTGCTGCCATGCTGGTGCTAAAGGCCAAGAATGTTGCCCAAGTGGCCGAAGACACCGTCCTGCAGAACAGGGTGATCGCTGCCGCCACCCAATGTGCCCTTTCCACCTCCCAGCTTGTGGCTTGCGCCAAGGTAAGCCCGCTGGCACCCCTGCTCCTCCTGCAGATTGCGGTGTGCACGTATCTGCCTTCTGTTGCTTGTGGGGAGCAAGGGCTGCAGTTGTCAAGGATTGGCTGAGCTTGGAGCTTGCTTAGGTGGTCGGATACACTGCCTGCCTGCTTTCATCGCCTGTGATGGTGAAAGGCAGGTGGTCCTTTTCTGTAATCTCCTTCTCTATGCACTCTGCTGTTTCTCTTCCTTGGACTTCTCTCTGCATCCTGCTGATAATGCCTGGAAGAGTCCATGCTGTGGGGGGAAGAGCATTTCAGAGGCTCAGACATGCTGGGCAGCTGTCTGCCGAGCCCTTTCCGTTAGGCAGTGTTGGAGTGCGGGGGGTAGGGGGAGTTGTCCCGACTTGCAGGCCTCACCTCAGTTCAGCTCCCCAGCGAGCCTGCATAGCACAGGCCCCCCCTTGCTGATGAGGAAGCTGAGGCCACTATGATTAGTAAGTAGCTTGGGCCACAGAGATAATCAGTGGTAGGTAGAGTGGGTCCGTGTGAGCCCCAGTGCCCTTTCCACCCACCATGTGTCGTCTTCCCGGACCATGGCTTGTTTCCATTTCTGCGTTTGCTGGTGTCTCGCGCTGTGTAAATGTGATCTGCTTGGCCCAGGTGGGCCTCAGGAGCTAAGGAGAAAGGAAGTGTGACTGGCAGATACTCGCAAGTTTTCCTGCCAAAGCCGTCGGGAACAGAGCTTGTTATGTCTCACTGCTGGGACCTCTGAAATCCCCCGGTGAAGTGCGAGGAGTGTGGGCAGTGACGGCAGGGGTTGAGCTGAGTCCCCAGTGCTGTAGCTAAGGAACTGGAGCCCAGGGTACAGGGGAACTAGGGATGCTGCATGCTGGCAACCGGCATCGCCTGCAGCCCCAAGCGCGGCCTCTGTCCTGTGCAGGTCGTGAGCCCCACCATCAGCTCCCCGGTGTGCCAGGAGCAGCTCATCGAAGCGGGCAAGCTCGTGGACCGCTCGGTGGAGAACTGCGTCCGCGCCTGCCAGGCGGCCACCGCCGACGCCGAGCTGCTGAAGCAGGTCAGCGCGGCAGCCAGTGTGGTCAGCCAGGCTCTGCACGACCTCCTGCAGCACGTGCGGCAGTTCGCTAGCCGAGGCGAGCCCATTGGCCGCTACGACCAGGCCACCGACACCATCATGTGCGTCACCGAGAGCATCTTCAGCTCCATGGGCGATGCTGGTGAGGCCCCTGGCTGCGGGAGGAAGGGCAGGTGTGGGGTTCGTGCAGGTGGACAGCTGTCTGAAGAAAAGTTGAAGGGTGACTGGCAAGAGTTAGTTCTCCATGATCTCAGCCAAGACTTTCTCACTAAAGACTGAAAAAAAGATCCAGGACTCCCTATGTCCCTGTCCATAGCCACGGTCAAGCTAACCAGAGTTCATTATAATTTGGATTCACAGGGGGCCGGCCAAATAGCTCAGCAGATTAAAGCGCCTGCAAGCAGGCGCAGGCGCAGGTGCAGGGGCTGGAACTCGATCTCGGGGCCTGCCCTGCTGGCCCCGCCTCCAGGGCTTGCTGAGATAGCAATTGAGATTGAGCTTGGTAGCGTATGCTTATAATCCCAGGTCTTAGGAGGTTGTAAACAGGCAGATCACTTAAAGTCAGATCTAGTAGTGAGACTCTGAACACTCTGTCCCTGAACACCCTGTAGACCCTTCCCTGAAATTCAAAAAAAATGGAATTCACTGTTAACTTCTTTACTCCTAAGAGTTCACGGTGGGTCAGAGCAGCCACCGACGAAGAGAGGAGCAGGACTCAGAATGAAATTTAACCTGCTTCCAGGGCCCCGAGAGAGCATCACAGGCAGCCTGGGTTGCTGGTTTGCATAGCCAAGACGCTGCCAGGCTGAACTGGGCCCACGAGAGGCCCGCTCTCCCCAGGCGGGAAGTTGTTTAAAAGGCCAAAACATTGTCACAGTCACTTTTTTAAAATATGTGCTATACCTTTTAACTTGGTTAGCTGAAAAATTGCCATAGACTAAATCCATTCATGTGTCTTCTCAGTCCCCAAAATTAACCATACTTATACTTTCTGGGGTTTGTTTGAAATAAATTCTGTTGCTTGTATTTAAGCTACACAAGAATGCATCCTAAGATAAATATATACATAGTAAGATGGCACTCCAGCAGGATATATTAGCGTACCTGTCATTGCATTTACTCATTTTAACTCCTTGTGGCAAGAGCAGCCATAATTAACTCTTATTCAGCAAAAATCCTGACCCTCCTACCGTGGTGGCAGGGACTGGGGAGGGAGGGCCTCTTCTGCATCCGCCTGTATGCATTGTGTGTGGGGATCTTTTTAGGAGCAGCTACGTACTTTATTTTGGGGAGCATCTTAATGTACTCAGTCATCTTCTAATGTATCTGGTTTCCATATGTGGTTTAGGTTATTTAAGATAATATACAGTAAGGTTTGGGGCGGGGGATTTGTTACTTTGGTGGCATGGGGGACTGAACCCAGGGCCCGTGCATTGAGGCACACCTGTGGCCCTTTTTCATTAAGACAAGGTCTCAATAAGCTGTTTGTGCTGGGCTTGAACTTGGGGTCCTCCTGGCTTACAACAAGTACTGTTGAAAGAATCATTTAGTTTTGTTTTATGGCCATGTATGCTGAATCCCTAGTGATAGAACTGTTGGACCAATGGGCACACGTGTTTTAAATTTTTTATGAACTTTGTCTCCAAAACATCCTTGCTCAGTTGGCAGCTGTGCCAGTAGTTCATAAGAAATCTGTTGCCCTCCTTGCTTGGCCATGCAGAACAATACCTCACAATGAGTTCTTTGCTTAGAAAGTTACTTTGTGTGCTTTTAAATCATCTCATGGATTAACAAAATAGGAGTAGTCCACAGAATTGGGTTTTTGGTTGTTCCTACTCTATTTTGTCTTATGCAAATGTTTTCTTTTGGAATCCTCGGAGAGTCCCAGAAAGTCCCAGAGGTTAACACACAGTTCCCGTGTGCTGTGGCACTTCCTCCACTTCTGACCTTTTCCCCAGTCATGGCCATTTCTCCAGACCAGATGAAAAGCGCTGTTTGTCATTGTGCATAAAGTCATCAAGAGTCGTCAGAGTCCATCAGTTACTCCATAAATGTCCTGGCACTGTTCTGGGATTCAACCCAGGGCACCACACTGAATTTAACACAATTTTATGGCCAAGGCTTTTTTCTTCCCCATGATGTTGCAGTATTTTGGCATTCTTTTCAAATGAGCTGTGGGAGAGGAGTGAGTCTGTCCTGTGTATGCTATGGTTTATTTTCAGTGTTGGTCATTATACCCTCCCCCCTTCCAAAAGGCTATTGAAATAGATTCCAGTGAAATCCAAACACCCTAAGACCAAATGATTGGAAAAACAAGGTCCAGATGAGTGTTGGCAAGACAGAGGTGACCAAAGAGCACACCGAATGGAAGAACTCTGGTCCAGGGCGCATCGAGCCCTTGAGTGTGAAACTGGTCCTTGCTCCCGCTGTACGAGGGCGAACCAGATGGCACAAGCAGAGTGTTAGCTGGCAGCACTCATCTGGCGGTTGGCGGCTTGCAAACCCTGAATTTAAAATAAATGTTTCCTGTCTTCGTTCTTCAGAGAGTTTATTATGGGGGTTTGTGTGTAAGCAGTTCTTAAAATAAGGTAAACAGTGTTTTCTAAGTAAGTATTTAAAGAGGGTAAGCCGTTGTGATCACGGCCCCGGCCTCTCCTCTGCATAGTGCTCCTCTTTTGTGCCGTGTTTAGCCCTCATAGTTAAAAGTTCAGCTCCAGTCTGCCGGAAGCACTGTCCAGGCAGCCCTAGAGGGTACTTTCAGCACCGTCTGGAACTCGAGTGTACTACGTAGGGGTACATTGTGGCGGTTCGCTCCCCTCCACCTGCTGGCCACAGGAGCAGGGACAAGACCCTACCAGCTCCTGAAACGGAACCCAGTGTAGAAAGCAAACGAACAGCCCAAACCCCCTGTCCTGTCCTCCAGGCGAGATGGTGCGCCAGGCCCGAGTCCTGGCCCAGGCCACTTCTGACCTCGTCAATGCCATGAGATCAGACGCAGAGGCTGAAATCGACATGGAGAACTCTAAGAAGCTGCTGGCGGCAGCCAAGCTCCTGGCCGACTCCACTGCCCGCATGGTGGAGGCAGCGAAGGTAGGCTGTGATCTGCCGGTCTGAACAGTGAATGCTAGTAAGTGTGAGGTTTGGCACATGCCTTCATGAGTGCAAGACACAGGGCAGTCAGCCGGGGGCGCGTTTCTCTTGTTTAAATCCTGCGTGGCTTGGCAGCATTTAACCTGGTCCCCAGGGCAAAGCATAAGGCTGAATGTGCGACAGGAACTCTTCAGGGGAGAGGTACTGAGTTAGCTGCAGAGCACCCTGCTGAGCCAAGGATGCTCTGAGGTGCAAGTTGTCATTGACAGAGCTGGAGATTTTCAGCAGTGACTGCCTATCCGTTAGCCTCAGTGTTGTTTTGACTTCCATTTGACTTGTCAGCTAAACTCTCATCAACATTTTGCAAAGCAGAGCTGGGGTGATTGCTCAGCAGTCTGAGTACCTGCCTGGCAAACGCAAGGACCCGGGTTTGATTCCCAGTACTGCATGCTGTGCCAGCCCCGGAACCATGGGTGTGCCATGCTGGCCACCGAAACCAGGTGTGGTGGCACACACCTGTACTCCCAGCAATGGGTAGGCTGAGACAGGAGGATCACTACAAGGCTGAGCTTCCTAGCGAGACCCTGTACCAAATAAATGAACAAATAAATAAATAAAAGATCTTTTTTAAAAAAGATTTTGCATAGCAGAGTGTTTCTCACTCCACTCTCCTTCAAATCCAGCAGTTTTTAATCTTATAAAGCCTAGGTCTCTCTCATCCAAAATGAGTAAGACCAAATGCATTGTAGATTTTGGAGTTTTTACAGACTGGAATATTGGCATAGACTTTACTGGTTACCCATCTGTAATCTGAAAACCAGAGATCTAGCTTGACGCACAAAGATTCACATTTAGTAGCATTGTGGATTTCAGATTTTTACCCTGGAAAAGGGTAAAAGTTAGCTTTCTATGTTTTGAACCCTGTACTATGGTACCATACTTCAAAGGCAGTGATTCTGAACAGGGGTCTGGTTTTTTTGGGGGGTTTTTTGGTGTTTTTTTTTTTTAGGGAAGGGTCTATAGGGTGTTCAGGGTCTCACTACTGGATCGGACTCATAGTGATCCACCTGTTTACAGCCTCCCAAGAGCTGGGATTACAGGCACATGCCACCGCACCCAGTTTCAATTGCCATCTCAGTGAGCCCTGGGGGCGGGGCCAGCACGGCAGGCCTGGGGATCAAACCCCCGGCCCCTGCGCCTGCTTGTAAGTGCTTTAATCTGCTGAGTTATTTGGCTGGTAGGGGTCTGTTTTGAGATTCTTTATAATGTAGTAAAATGTACATGTCACACTTCCTTCCCCAAAGACCAGATTCATAAGATCCCGTATGTGTCCCAGGATATCCTGATCTTACCTCTAGGTGAGAACTGTTTTACATCAATTAGGCCTTCTTTCTCTATCCTTCTTCACTATGTATGTAGCAAACATTTCCTGTGGAATTAATAGCAAATGCAGATAAATATAAAAAAAGAAAATAAAAATAATCTTCAACTTCCTGCTGCCAAAATAACACATTTAATGTATTCCACACACATAAAAATTCATTATACATCTTTACATCTTATCTCCCTTGTGCCAGTGGTGTAGAAATGTGTCCCAGCCAGGTTTGTGAATTTACTTAAAGTATATTATGATTTGTCTGAACTATGCAGAATTTTTTTTATCCCCCTCCTCTCCAAAATCGCAATTCATGGATGTAAAAAGAAGGGAGAACTGCAAGCATCCTGGGAAGAAGTGGGCTGTGAGCCGCTTTCTTTTCCAACAGCCAAGGATCTCTGATTTTTTTAAAAATTTTTTTAATTTAACTGGAGATTAAATTTAGGACTTTGCGCTTGCCAGGCAGGTGTTTATGCCAGTGAGCTATATCCCTGGCCAAGACCTCTGATTTTAACCATGCCTTTTCAGCAAAAAAGATGTGCAGTGTTACGGTTTTGTGTAGTGGTTGTGTTTCTTAAGTTTTATTAGTATTTTCTTCTCTCCCCTTTAAAATCTGTCTATAGCTGTGTCAAACCTTCATGTTCATAAATAATACAAGTTATTCTCTAGAATAGGAAGAGATAAAAAAATCTAGTCAGTATCTCCTTTCACACATGACAAAGTTGAGACTTAGAAAGATTGAGGCAAACATCATATAATCAAGGGGCTGGCAAAATAGCTTGGCAGATTAAAGCACCTGCAAGCAGGGGCCAGGGGTGATCTCCGGGCCTGCCCTGCTGGCCCTGCCCCTGGGGCTCGCTGAGATGGCCGTTGAGACCGGGCATGGTGGTGCGCATGTAATCCCAGCTCTTGGGAGGCTGTGAACAGGCTGATCACTATGAGTCCGATCTAGTAGTGAGACCCTGAACACCCTGTAGACCCTTCCCTAAAATAAAATAAACTAGATCACATAATCAGAATGAGACAGCACTGATGGGCACACTTGTTTATTAATGTCACAGTGCCACGTCTCTGAGTCTACCAAGTTGCCCAAAAACTTGTCTCTTGTGTGTGTAACTTTCAGACAGTCATTTGGGACATAATCATATTTCACCTCAGTAAAAAGAATAAAAAATAGGGGCTGGGGAGATGGCTCATTGGAATAAGCACTTCCCTGGCAAGCGCAAGGGCCTGACTTCAATCCCTAGTTCTGCAAAAAAAAAAAAAAAAAGTAAATGCCTCCAGGCTTGGTGGTGCACACCTGTAATCCCAGCACTCAGGAAGCTGAGGCAGGAGGATCACCACAAGTCTGAAGACAATCTGGGTTACATAGTGTGTTCAAGGGCAGCCTGAACCACAGAGGTAGGCCCTATCTCAAATGAATGAATGAATGAATGAATGAATGAATGAATGAATGAATGCTGGCATTAATGGCCATCCTCTAGAAGAAAATTATTGGGCCCTTTCTTCGTTCGTTCTGTCTGTCTGTCTGTCTGTCTGTCTGTCAATATAGATAGATAGCTGTATTGCTCTCCATCTCTTATTTATCTGCTCCAGCCTGAAACAAAATGTGCTTCTTTATATCTAAATAATAAAATTTATTATTTTTAACTAATACATAAAAGTGTAAAATTCATACATTTCAGTGGGGTGATGTGTGAGGTCTTCATGTCTTTTAATCCACAGATTTCTGACCAGAGTGATTTGTAGGAACGACCAAGGCTGTGGTCGCCAGTACTTAATTACTGCCCCTGGATGCCGTTTAGCGAGGCAGATCTGACGCTTCCTCGGGTGGCTGTCTTTAGCCGCGAGGCAGACATCTTAGCAGAAGTCCATTGCGTACGGCGTTTGGATTTCCCCTCCGAATGCATTGTAGAGCTAGGAGAAAGTGAAGTGGAAGGTGTGCGCTTGCTCGGTGTGGCCTTCTGTGCCGCAGACCACTTGCGATTTGTATTCTCACCTTTGCAGGGGGCTGCAGCCAACCCAGACAACGAAGATCAGCAGCACAGGCTGAGAGAAGCCGCAGAAGGTCTCCGGGTAGCAACCAACGCTGCAGCCCAGAATGCTATTAAGAAGAAAATCGTCAACCGGCTGGAGGTCAGGAGACAGGCTGACTTTGGGGGATTGCTATTTTAGATTGCAAAGAGTCGGGTGAAAAAAAAAAAAAACCCAGTTGAGTCAACAAAGTGATGTCTGCATAAAGAGGGCTGAATCAAGGTTAACGACCTTGGTGGATAGTTTAGGTACTTTAAAGGCACTGACACAATGTGGAAAAAATTGCCTTCATTTGTGCCTTCTGAGAGCCGCGGTCCTTCCTAATGTTCAGAAATAGAATGCAGACAGTTGTCAGCCAGAGCCGGCCCTCTTCCCTGCTGTGAAATGGCGCACAGATTCAGGGAGGACCAGTCTCTGGCAATGTCTACGTCGTGTTGGAGGCTGTGACTTTTTTCAGGGCTTCCCATAGAAAATACGGACTTCTTCTGGTGGGTGGTTGGGTTTGGTTAGAGAAGTATGGGGGAAATACTTGTTTCACTTGTCAGAAAAATTTTTTTTCTGATGAAAGAGTTGAAATAACAAGAGTAACAAAAGATGTAATTTCTCTCCTGAGTGTGCCCAGGAGACCTTTGCACTAAAAGATGAGGGGTCACAGCTGGAGTGCCTGCCTGTCTAATGGGGAATCAGTCGGCTGTCTTGTGGGGAAAGTGGCCATGCTAAGAGCGCAAACTCAGTGGAGTGCCCAGGGGCACGCGGGACGCACCCTTGTCTTTTAGTGTTTCATTTTGTGTTTTGTGTAGCCAAAGCTGGCCTCGAACTCCCAGTGATCCTTCTGCCTCGGCCTTCTGGGTGCTGGAATTACAGGCTTGAGCCATCTTACCTGCATTTGTGAGCCAAGGGCTCCAGGCGCTGAGAGGAGCGTTGTGGGCACCTTGCTTTGTGCTTGGTACGGAGAGCAGCCTGTGCTCCTGAGCGAGATCTTTTGCCCCTGCGCATGTACGCTTGGCGCTGCTGGTTATCAGTGCCTTCATGGTCTTGCGATTTGTCTTTTGAAGAAAAGACTGAGGGCTGGCGAGATAGCTCGGTGGACTAAGCGCGTGCTTTGGCAAGCACAGAAACCGGGGCTCGATCTCTGGTCCCACATGCTGTGCTGGCCCTGCCCCCAGGGCGCACTGAACCAGGCAACAGAGTCCGGACGTTGGCGCAGGCCTGTAATCCCAGCAACTGGGGAGGCTGACACAGGAGGATCGCTACGAGTCGGAGCTGCATAGTGAGACCGTGTACCAAATATATAATGAAAAAAAGATGAATACGGTGCCATTTGAGCTCTGAAGCATGCAGGATAGCAAGGTTGGGCTCCTCAGTGACTTTCAGAAGGTTTTTAAAAGGTGGCATCTCTCCATGGCGTTCAGGCTGTGGCGGAGCCGTGTGCGCCTGAGCAGGAAGTGACATCATGCGTATGTCTACGCTTCTGTCTGCAAACCCACGCTGACCTGCCTCACTCTCCTTCACAGGTTGCAGCCAAGCAGGCAGCGGCGGCAGCTACACAGACCATCGCTGCCTCTCAGAACGCAGCCATTTCCAACAAGAACCCTGCGGCCCAGCAACAGCTGGTGCAGAGCTGTAAGGTGAGCTTCCCGCCTGGCACAGGTGTGCTGTGGCGGCCCCGAGGAGATTAGCAAGCCACGTGCCCTGGGAGCTCCCTAGACCTAGGTCTTCTGGCCTAATTTGTGTATCCCAGCTCCATGTTCCAGGTGTCCTAGTGTCTGGTTTTTGTCCCTTAACTGAGGGACTGTCCTTGGGGTAAGAGTTGCATTTCCCCCCACTATTGTCTTCTCCTTGTCCCCCTTCTTTTCATGGGACTGAATCAAGGCATTGGCAAGGAGGCTTTTTGAAGGCTCTGAAATGGCGATGAAGCCCTGTGCCTCCCTCCGGCCTTGGTGCGGTTGTGCTCTGGGCTTTCTGATATTACTCGCTTGCCTGAGCCTGGGCCTTGGTCCTGTGCTGAGATGGCAGCAGCTACCTTTGTGCTGTCTGTCAAGGCCAGGGGAGCCGACTCTTCTGAGCAGTCGAGACCGGAACGCACTCTCAGGGCAAGCAGTGGCCACACGTGCATGCGTACGTGCGTGCATTTCCAGCGGGGGTCTGCTGGAGCAGTGTCAGTAGGGGCTGGGGAGACGTCCTCTGGGAGGAAGAGCTGCCTGCGGTGCTGCAAGGGTCCAGGCACCTCTGCCTGAGAACGGGGCTGGGGGCCTCAGGCCTTTCCCCTTCTGGGGAGCGTGTGTTGCTCTTGTCAAGGGACACATGACATGGTGAGCCTCCCGTCCCTCCCTTGTGCAGGGACGGAGGATGCTGTGCCTGAGTGTCACTGTCAGGAAATGAGAGGAGTGTGCTGTTCATGAGCTTGAAGTAGACAAAGAAAAGTGGACTGGAGCCCGAAATCTGCAGTCCTAGGAAAGGCTGGGGACATTGATGTAAAAATATTTTTTTAGCTCTTGCTGGAATGCGTTCTTGGACAAAAAAAAAATCAGTGAGCCAGAATCCACTGGGCATCCTTACTACAAACTGGCTGAGCTACTGTGACCCCCCGAAGCCTGGCTCCTCAGAGCAGGAGTGGGCTGAGGGAGAAGGCATGGAAGGAAGCACAGGAGGTGGAAGCTGACCTGGACGGCAACACAGGAAACAGTGGTCCTGCCCTGCTGTGCAATGCCATTCCTGTCCCCTTCTCCTTGAGCTTTGCGTTTTTCAGTTTGAGAAGCAGTGAGTGCTGCTTAGAATGAGAAGCGGGAGCCGCCATCCGCCTGGTACACAGAACACACACGTGCGGAGCAAGAGCACAGCGCTCCTAAGTGCGGTGGCTGAGGGACTCAGCTCCTCACCACGGACCCATGTGACTTCAGTTTACCTACCTCTGAATCTGAGGATCCTTTGATGCCAAATTTGTCACCCTATGACATCTAGAGGAATTCCCTTGAGGCTTTGTTACGCAGAACCATCTTCCCCCAAATGCATCAAGGCCTTTGGCAGCACAGGGTGCAGCTCATGGGGAGGAGCGCTCAGAATGAGTCTCCATGTTGGTGAGGACCCAGCCAGATGTGCCGTGGAGATCCAGGTCCAGGACTGGCGTCCCGGGGAAGTAGCCAGCTCGTCTAAGAAACTGGCCCCTTGGGTCACTCCCCCCTCTTGATATCTGCAGCCCCTGCCTGTGCTCAGGCTGTGTCTCCTGGCTTCCTGCAGGCGGTGGCGGATCACATTCCTCAGCTAGTCCAGGGGGTGCGAGGAAGCCAAGCGCAGGCCGAGGACCTCAGCGCGCAGCTGGCTCTCATCATCTCCAGCCAGAACTTTCTCCAGGTAACATGGAGCCCCCCTCAGGCAGGGCCTGCCCTCGGTGCCTACGGAGAGGCCTGAGGGAGCCCCACAGCCTGGCTGTAGCTTTGCCCATCCAGTGTTGGGAAAAGGAGGTCTCCCCTGTCAGAGCACAATGCTGATGGGCAGGGAATTGCCTGGGGAGACAGCGCTGCAAGCCATTCTCCTCAGGAATAGCCTACTTGTCTTTCCTTGAAGAGAAAAAAATGTAATAAGTTGCACATTGAGATGAATGTCCCAGAACCATGTTGTACTTCCATTTCCTGGAGCACCTCGTGCTCTTAGGCGTGGACTAGGAACACACAAGTGTGTTTCGTGTTTTCTTTTCCAAGTAGGAGCCTGTTCCTTGTGGCTATTGGCTGTTAGTCAGGACTGTCAGCCCTGTGTGGGGTGAAGGGTTGATTTGTTGGGGGTTGTTGGGTTGGGTTGGGTTGGGTTGTGGTGCTGAGATGAACCCATAGCCTTGAATATGCCAGGCAAGAGGTATACCTGAGCTGCGCACACAATATCATAGATTCATTTTAAGGAAAACCGGGTACGGTGACAACACCAAGAGAAAACTCCCTGGTGTGTGCCTCTTCCATCCGAACCTCTCTCCCATCAGCACTCTGTCGCTACTTGTATCTCATAAACAGTTGACGTGAGGATGCCCTTCAGCCCCGCATCCCTTTCTAGTTCAGCCTGTTGTTGCAGGACCTTCGTGGGGTCAATTATTCCAGTGCTGCAACCTCAACATGCAGAAATAAACCTGGAAGTTTTTGTCTTTCTGCATATTTAAGCTATGCACAGATACACAGGATGTATGTGTGTGCATGTGTGCATGTGTATGTGCAGATACACAGAGATGTATGTGTGTGCATGTGTGCATGTGTATGTACAGATACAGAGATGTATGTGCGTGCATGCATGCTTGTGTATGTACAGATACAGAGATGTATGTGCGTGCATGCATGCATGTGTATGTACAGATACACAGAGATGTGCGTGCATGTGTGTGTACAGATACACAGGGATGCACATGCGTGCATGCATGCATGTGTATGCACAGATACAGAGATGTGTGTGCATACGTGCATGTGTATGTACAGATACAGAGATGTATGTGTGTGCATGCATGTGTATGTACAGATACACAGAGATGTATGTGTGTGCATGCGTGCATGTGTATGCACAGATACACAGGATGTATGTGTGTGCATGCGTGCATGTGTATGTATGATGGTTGAATTGTGATGCATGCTATATAAATCTTTTGTTTTTTGTTATTATTTTGTTTTTCTTTTGCATGGTGATCAGGATCAAACCCAGGGCCTCAGGCATGCTAGGAAAGCATTCTGCCCCAGAGATACATCATCGGCCCTTTTAAAGTTTAATTTTGAGATGCAGGGTCTCTAAATTGCCCAGGCTGGCCTCAGACTTGAAATCTTCATGCCTCAGCCTCCAGCATACTGGGGCGACAGCATGTGCCACCATGCCAGGCTGGCCCTTTAGGTATTTCATTGACCATCTGCACTCTTACGGGTTTCAGTAATCTACTGAGTAGCCACGCTGTGTGTTAGCTGCCCTCCCATCATTGGCCACGCGAGTTCTTGTGTTTGGTCCTCATAGAACAACTGGTGATACGATTTTCCTTCTGTGTTCAAATCTTTCTTCCCTCTTGAATTACTCCTCTATAACAGATCTCTAGAAGTAAGGTTGAAAACAACTTGGCTGTAATTTCAGGACACGAAAGTGTAGGACTCAGATGAGGCATGTCCTCACAAGTGGTCCTGGCCCAGCTGCCGGGTACATTTTCTGTTCCTGGTTCCACTGTCCCCACCTTGATTTTTATTGTTCTGATTGTTGTTGTTTGGTTCTTTTAACTTTGTCATCATAGATACTTATATCTTTTCAAGAAGAGGCAAACTTAAAATAGCAATAGAGTTGACAGGTCGAAAAGTGTGTACATTGGTGTGTGTGTGTGTGTGTGTGGGTGTGTGTGCTGCACATCAAACCCATCAAACTGCACATGTGCAGCAAGCACCATGACCCTGAGCTACACTCCCAGCAAGTCTGTGCATTTTAAACTTTATTCCTACATGTCATAGAATTGCCCTTCCAGAAGGTTGAACAAATCTAGATTTACAACTAGAAGTATATGGAGCATACTTTCAATACATCTTTTATAAGATGGAGAGTTAAGTGCTTTAAAAAAAGAAATGTCTTTGCCAGTTTTCTCTACAATTCGTTTGATTTTTCATTTCCTCACTTTTCGCTAGGCATTTTTCACATGCCCTGATTTATTTTGTCACGGGAAATTATCTGTTCTTGCTTTTTCTGCAGTCATGCTGGTTTTTCATATTACTTCTCATTAATTTTTTAAATATTAGAAGTATTAATTTTTTCCTTCGTATTTATGAGCTGGCACTTACATTGTTATAACTTTTCTAAGATTGGTTTTGTAGCATGGATATTAAAAGCCTTAAAGTATACCTGCTTTTTGATCCTGAAATTCTACTTTAAAAAATTTATATACAGCAGTTACTCGGGAGTTTGAGGCTGGAGGATTGTGAGTTCAGGGCTAGTCTGGACATCGTAACAAGACCCTCCTGTCAAAAAAAAATTCAAAGAAAATTATAAATATGTACAAACATTTAGCTGTTGGTTGACGTCATTTATTATGTTGAAGACAAAAGCAAATATTCCCAATGACGGGGATTGGGCAGTGTTAACAAGGACTGACTGCCGCAGAATATTATATGGCTGCTGAAAAATGTTACAGTCTGTATAACAAAAAGGCTATAAAAGAAAGTAGTGTTGTAGTATCTTATTTCTTTTATCCAAACACAACACTTGTATATGGTAAAATCGTTTTGGCGTATGAGATGTGAGATTATTTTATTTGGCTTCAGTTTTCAAAATAGCCCATTGGATATATTTGAAATTTGTGGTAAAGAACTATTTTGAGAAAAGCAAAGAAACCTATTTAATGAGAGCTGCCTTTGAAATCTGTTTTCTTTGAGAGTTTTAAGCTACTGATTTCACCTCCCCTGCTCCACCAACCATGAAACATACTTTTAAAAAAATCTCTAGGATATGTACTGCCCGCGTGTCTGATTTGGGGTGGCCATTGGGGTCGGAGTAAAGAACAAGTCGGTGCTTAATATCCTTCTGTTTTTAGGAAAACATAAGTTCTGGTCACTGTGGAGACACTGCTGAGGTTCTCTGACCTTGCTGCCCAGGAGCTGTCTCACTCTCTGCTCTGTCTTTACAGCCGGGAAGCAAGATGGTGTCCTCAGCCAAGGCCGCGGTACCCACTGTGAGTGACCAAGCCGCAGCCATGCAGCTGAGCCAGTGCGCCAAGAACCTAGCGACCAGCCTGGCTGAGCTGCGCACGGCCTCACAGAAGGCAAGCGATGTGGGGTGGGCACTGCCCAAGCGTGACGGGGCCTGTTTCCTGGCAGGGGTGTCCATTCCGAATGCTTGCCATTGGAGGTGCTCCCGCGGTCATCTTGTACTGTACTGAGTGCTCCCTCCTGGGCTCGGTTATCGTCCTGTGATTAGAGATGACTTTTGTTGAGCATCGTGGCAGGGGTAGGCATAGCAGGGAAGACCTGTTCGCCTGGTGATGGCTGGGAAGCAAAAGAAAGGGACACAGAGCAGGCCAGTGTCCTACTGTCGCTTTGGGGTTGCATGCCCAATGACATGACTTCCTCCCACCCACCCCCACCTCCTAAGGGTTCCACTGCCTCCAAAACAGTAAAAACACCTGGGAACCAAGCCTAATAAATGGGCTTTGGGGGGGAAACTTCATTTTTTTAATAGTTAATTTTATTGAGAAAGAAGTAGCAACGAGACAGTTTCAAAACAGGTTAGTAGGGCAGTTACAATAATTAATACATTGCATAGTATTATCTTTGTAGTAGTTATTCATAGTATAAGATATAGACATGATATTTTGTCTAAACACTATTAGTACAAATCTTTCTTCTCATTGAACTGAAAGTAGCTGTATATCTGTGCTATTTTGTATATACAGATATGTATATTTTTTCACTACAAAATGGTCCTTCATTTATATCCCCCTTTTTTGTTTACTTTTGTCAGAGTTGGGTATTCCATTGCCGTCCATATATTGTAGGTGCATGAATTCAGCAAAGTAATCCAGTAGTCTATAATAGTAGTGGGTTATTCAGACATAAAGTAGAGCAGTAAATGATCATATCTCCAGATCGCATCTTGAGCGTTTAATTTAGGCAGAAAATCTAATGGGGGAGGTCATCTTTACTGTCTTTTTTTCTTAGAAAATTTTTATATTTTACATGGAAGCATTCACTTTGAAAGGTTTTGTCTGTAACGCAGTTAGGGCTAAATACATTGCTGTTCCTGCAGCTTATTAATTCCTGAAGGGCCTCATTACTACACTGATGTGGTGTTAGCGTGAAATCACGCGAGCTTATTAGCGCAATTCCTGAACAGAAACAAGGAAAGTAGGTGGAGGCTGGCTTGCGCCCGTACTGTGAACAGTACGCTACGTAGAGAAACTAGCTGGAGCTTGAGCCGGTAGCCGTCAGAAACGAGCGTGTGGCCGTTCCACGGAGAGGCCCTGGAAGCCCCAGAGGCACTCGCTGGAGTGCAGGTTTCCGGCCCACGTCAGAACTGGGGTGCACAGATCCGCCCCATCTGCCTTTGGGGTTTCTTCTATGAATCTTAAATACATACCAGCAGTCAACGCAAGCTCTGGAACAACGAGCTCCGGAGCAAAAGGAAGTACGACTGCCCGCCAGGGGCAGGGAGGCGTGATGAGAGCTTGTCAGTGCTTCTGGGATGCGGTGGAAGGCCGAAGCGCCCAGGCTGTGGGCTCAGACCAGCCGCATTTAAATTCTGGCCCTGTCGCTGACTCAATTTTTGTCCTGGACAAGTTAGTTAACCTCTTCCTTGATTCATTTTCCTCACCTAATAATACCAGTGCATAAAAGTTAATTAGGATTCGCTGCTGCTGTTGTTACTATTATATAGAAAGGGAAGAAATTAAAATACATCAGTAATTAGCATACCAATCAATTATTATACATGTATTTAATTAATCAATGATGTGTTGGGTGCAGGAAATTGCCAGGGTTTGGAGACCAATGTTTAATGGTGAAGAGAATGAAATCATTCTTAAAACTTTTCAGGATAGGAAGGTAATGGTTTATAACCCAGAAGACTTGTAAGGAGAAGGGTTACCCTAAGCTTGGCCCTAGCGTCCTGGGTTGGCTTCTCTATCCATTCCACTGCACACTTCTGAGCCTCTGTATGTACACATGCTTGTTAGAGGCTCCGTCTCTGCAGCCCAGCCAGTGAATAAAGGGTCCTTTAAGTCTGTGGATAAAATAGCTGCAAGAAGACCTTTAAATCTGTCCAGTGATGAGGTGTACACACTTGATGACTTAGGGAAGCTAAGACTGAGATCCTGACTGGCGGTGATTTGCACCCTGGGGAAACAGTCACTGCCTCGGGGGCTCCTACTCCTGGTCTCAGAGTCATGGGCTCTGTCTGGAAAATAGCTCGTGTGTCGTCATAATTGGAGACGCTCTTCCCAAGCAGACTGCGTACTCATACTCCTGACTCTCCTGACAGGCCCACGAAGCCTGTGGTCCTATGGAGATCGACTCAGCTCTGAACACCGTGCAGACGCTGAAGAGTGAGCTGCAGGATGCCAAGATGGCAGCCGTGGAAAGTCAGCTGAAACCACTTCCGGGGGAAACGGTGAGCCATTCTGGCCAGAGGGCTGTGGGCTCCAGCTTTTACTTTTATCATGGTGAGGCGCTTGCTGCTGTCGGGGTCAGTCTCCCTGAATTGCAGGTATTCGGAACTCAGTGCGCTGGACTTGTCACAGAGCTTTGCAGCTGCATCAAGCTAGCGATCACCCTGGGGGGACTTTTAGCCGTGGTTGTATGTGCCTTCCTGGGCTTTTGCGAAGGATACACAGGCATCTGCTAGCATACTCCCCTTTTTGATAAATGAGAGATTCCAGCGCCCTCATCTTGTAGTCTTTTTCTGCAAAGAATGTTCCATGCAGCTGGTGGAGCTAGATCTTCATCTGAGAGCGGTACCTTCTAGACCCACCGCCACACTCTGTGTCTCACATATTTTATCTGTGGAATGGGTGGCCGAGAGGTTGTGGTGGTAAACACAGAAAAGATGACCCACAGTCATGTTTAAAATAAAACAATTTATGTAATGCAAGGCACTGAGATGGACAACGGCAAAGCCAGTCGCAGATGGAATGGTAGACCAGAGATCTAATGTGGTCCTGTTGATATGGGTCCTATATCGGGTCCTGTAACTCCTGATGCTTTATCACAGTTCTCTTGGCTGAAATCTGACCACTCCTTATTTCTCCATACTGACTTTCCCACATTTTCCTGAGCACTGCTAGTAAACCACCACCACTTCTTAGGCATCGGTTAAGCACTCATTCATAGTCTAGTCCAACTCTAAGGAGCAATAATTTTAAAACCCATGTCCTCTAACGTAAACATAGGTATCCAGAGTTACTTGTAGATCAGTGGTAGAATCAAAGTTGCATTCCAAATCTGTGGGACTCCCAAACCCAGACTTCTGCAGTGCTGGGCTCCAACACGGGGCCTCGAGCGTGGGGGGCAGGATGCACCACGGATATACGTCCCCAGCCCTAATGCCTGCTATTCTCACCTGTTGGTGCCCTTTGAATGAATGAAAGACTTTTAAAGCATAAACAGCCTCCAGGAGCGTCTGCTGCACGCACAGCAACGCCTGGCATGCAGGCAGCACTCGGAAATGTCTGGGAAATCGAGTTGCCCTGATTGTAAAGATGAGGAAGCAGGCTTAGAGAGATTGAGCCGCTTCGCTGAAGTTCCCCAGCTGAAGACAGAGCTGGGCTCGGCCCTGAGCCAGAGGCTTTGGAAGTGCTCTATGTGTCTGTGCCAACTCTGTACTCCAAGGAGACCAGAGACACTCCTGCCACGAATTCTAGTCTTGCGTGAAGCAGTGGGGGAGGTAGGATGCAAGAAACAGCTTATACATTTTAAAGGAAGTATTTTTCCTAAAATGTAAAGCAAATGCATTGTGAAAAAAGCAATTTGAGAGGGAACAACATGTGTGTTGTGTTACGTTATTTGCTGTGATGGGCCAGCATCTATTTTCACTAGAAGACACAGAGTCTTACAAGAAAGGCCTTGGATTAGGTAAAGTGCGTTAGGTTTTCTCTGCCTTTCTGTGCTCTTACAACGCAGTGCAAATTCTCGTCCAAAATGTGGTCCTCATCTGCTAATCCAGTAACTATTCATGACCTAAGTCTTTACCAACCCTGCTGTCTGTGGTGGTGTTTGTTTGCGCTAGCATCTTGCTATGCGGTTGACGCTGACCTTGACCTCACTGGGTAGCTCAGGCTGGCCTCACACTCAGCTGTTCTTCTGCGTCAGCCTCTCGGGTGCTGGGATGATAGGCATGCACCTCTACACCTGGTCTGTTCTCTGAAATGTTTATGAAGCTTGCCAGACAAGGTAGCATGCTTGTCGTAGGAAGCAAGCACCATGCGCTTCGGCTGCTCTCATTTCCCACCCCAACCTCTGTGACTCGTGGATTTCCTTTCTGTTGGAGCTCTTTAATGATCACACTGAACGGTGTCAATGGTCTGCATGACAGGAACACAGTCCAGCTGAGTGTCTGCCCCCTTTCTGCAGAAGCAAAATTACTACCTGTAAAGGCATCGTAACGCTAATAGCTACTGTTTGTGGGGAATCTACGTTCGTTTTCTGAAAGTTTTTTCAGCTAGGTGTTACAATTTCAGGAAACTGAGGCTTGGAGAGCTCACCCATACTGTGGTAGGGGGCAGGGTATGCACCCCGATTCACTGACTGTAAAGGTGGGGAAAGAGCTGTGCTTTATCGTTCTCAGTTACGCTGAGCCTGGTGAATGTTTCCTTCCCTCTAAGTTCTCTCCCTTCTGGACATTGCTGCAGCTGGAGAAATGCGCCCAAGACCTGGGAAGCACCTCGAAAGCAGTGGGCTCCTCCATGGCGCAGCTCCTCACCTGCGCCGCCCAAGGCAACGAGCACTACACAGGTGAGCCCCGCAGGGCGCTCCGGGAAGCCGGCCGGCACAGTCCGCTTCGGGGGTTTGCAGAGGGCGGGCTGATGGAGCACGCCTCTAGGTTTTCTGGACTCTTTCCCAGCAGTCACAGCATGGTTTTCAGGCACTCCCACGTGCTGGTCACTGTGTGCTTGTTACTAAGCATACAGCGACTGATAGAACGATTCCTAGACTATGTGGACCATCCAGCAGACTACAAACAGACAATAACGACAGACTCCTAGGCTGCCTCTGACTTCAGACATCCTGCTAAGGTAGATAAAATTGTTAGAAGTCAGAGAGACTGAGGGATGGGGACGGACTGGGGAGGTAGCTTGGCCATCTAAATGCTTGCCTGGCAAGCACAAGGACCCGAGTTCGACACCCAGTATTGCATGCCCTGCCAGCCCCCAAACCAGACACGGTGGCCATGTCTGTAATCCCAGCGCTGGGGATGCTTAGACAGGAGGATCACTACGCGTCCAAACTGCATAATGAGACCTTATATCAATAAAAAAAAGATAAAAATAAAAAAGGATAAGGGATGACAACAAAGTAAGATGGCAATGAAATTTTGGAAGGTAAAAGACAGTCACAAGTAGAGTAAAAGGGTGAAAACTTCAGAATCTACAGGACAAGGGAAACCAGCAGGAAGCCAGCTGAGGTGTGCTGCAGAACCGCTTCTGGGCCATCTGGGGCCTTCAAAAGCCAGGGCTGCCTGGACAGGATGCTGGAAGGTCTATTTTCACCTGACCTCGCAGGCGGGGCCATGTCCCATGCAGGGTGCTGCTGTTTAGCACCGCGATTCTGTGTCGGGGACTCAGCTCTATGCCTGCTCTCTTCCTGGCCCTGTGAGATTTTGTGAGGCCTTTGCTCAGCTTCTCCACCTGTTGGCCCAAGTTCCAAATTCTGAGGTGCCTTGAGGGAAGAGCAGCCCTGAACTTGGGCCGCCCCTCCCTGCTGTCCTCCGCTCAGGGCCTTGGCCCTCTTGACCATGGTGCCCTGGTATCATTCTAGTGGCTTCAAACAAATGTTTCAGTGTGTTTTCCAGCTGCTTCTCTGTGGGAAGGTTGACATGCAGGCATGCAATTTGTGGTCATTCCATTGCTACAAGCAGAATCTTCCTCAGTTTTATGAAACTACATATTTATTACTTTAAAAATAAAAATAATGCTGAGGCAGAGCACAGCGGCCGGGGTTCGATCCCCAGCGTGCTGTGCCGGCCCCACCCCCAGGGCATGGTGAGCTGGGGCTTGAGACTGGGCGTGGTGACGCATGCCTGTCATCCCAGCGTTTGGGAGACTGAACACAGGCAGATCACTATGAGTCCAGTCTATATAGTAAGATCCTGTACTAACTACAAAAAAACAAACATAAAAGTGCAACATGAACAAAGGAGGGTATGATGCAGTGCACTAGCTGCAACGTAAGACCCTACAGTTCTCTCCTAAAGGGACAGCAAAGGAAAGTGAGCCGAACTGACAGCAGAGCAGGTTTTTGCAGATTGCTTAGGGCTCCGTTAGCATCCTGGGAGAGAGAAGCATGTGCATGCATTCTTACAAAGTGTAAAGCGTGGGAGAGGTTTCAGTTTGAAACACTGCTCCCCATTCCCAGAGTCACGGCAGGCTTCCCGTAGACGACGAAACGCGTGTTGAGTGGAGGGGAACCTTGCTGTGCCAGTTGCATCACACCATGCAGGATGTAGAACGGCAGGCGGCCTCGCCGTTAACTGAAAAACGGCCGGGACGCAGCATCATTGAGCGCTGGCGGGCGCTGGCGGGTTATGGAAGCAGGTGCTGCATGCGGTGTCTCGGTGTGGAGGAGAAGGCAGAGCGAAGGAGAGGCGAAGGTGGAAATAGAAGGCAAGGAGAGAAGGGTGGAGCGGGAAAGTGGGGCTGGAAAGTGGGACCAAGTGTGGCTCCCAGGGAGCCTCCTTAGGCAGGATGACTAGTTTGCATTTAACTGAAAAACCTGGGAAGTGCTGGATGGGTTTTAGCAGTGGCTGCTGTCAGAATGCCCTTCGTATAGTCTATGACCTTGGTTAGGTGAGAGGGACTAGTGTCCTGAAGATGTGCTAGCTAGGGTTCCCTCACTATAGCAGAACACTTGAGATGATTAACTTCTGTAGAGAAAGGGCTCACAATCGTAGAGGGTCCAGTACATGACTGAAGAGGCGGCATCTCATGGCAGGAGTATGTGGTGGAGCGCAGCTGTTCATCTCGTGGCCAGGAAGCAGCCGCGTGAGGAGAGGGCAGGGGATCCCTCAGTCCCCTTCCAAGGCACACCCCAGTGAACTAAAGGCCTCCCTCGGGGTCCCACACTGAAAGGTTCCACCATCTTCCTGCACCACCACCCCTTGGACCAATTTTAACTCATGAACTGTAGAAGGACATTTGATATCCACACTACCACAGCAGTAGAGTAAGGTAGTGGATTAAAGTTGGAGAGACCTGACAATTTGGAGTGACTGCATAGACACTGGCAGGGACGGGGAAGGTGGGTAACACGGGCAACTCGAAGTGTTTGATCTGATAGCCAGATGCAGGCTTGTGTGCACCTCTGGGCTGGGAACCTGCGAGCGCTGGTGGAAATGGAGGGTTGAAGTTCAAGCAGGCCATTCTCAGCCTCTAGTGGATTTGATTCAAAGTACGCAGGAGATACGCAAATGGAGGTGCCATTGGGCAGCTGGTTCTCAGGCGCTAGAAATCAGGAGAGATGTGGGGCTGGAGGTACAGATTTGAAAATTATTAGTAAAATGTTAATGATTGAAGCCATGAAGGTGGATGGGTTTGCCTAAAGTAAGCATTAGAGTAGACATAACCCTGAAGAACTGAGCTGAGGAAGAAATCTTTTTTTAAAACATAGGAACTGCAGCCAGCACTGGGTAGGGCAGGGAGACCAGGAGAAGGGTGTCTCTGAGCCCACAAAGTCAGGCAAGGACTTGAAAACACCAGGAGCTTTAGCAATTGGCTGTGGACTCTTTGCTCCTTGTCAAAGTCAGTGTCGGCTGAACTGAAGAACAAGGGGGAAGCCAAGAGAAGACACCTGTGGACTAGTCCTCCCTGGTCTCAGTGCCCTGTCCTACACAGGTATGTGGGATGCTCAGCGAGTGCGCGTTCCCTATCAGCTGGCTGCCTTTGACTCACACTTGGTTTTTTGACCAATGAAATACTCAAAGTATAATCATTTCCACATTGGCTGAATCCAGCTACCTAGAATATTTTGCAAATGCTTTGAAACATTAAAAATTTGTATCATAAGTCACTTCAACCTCGTAAACTTGCTGTGTAGCCTCATTCTGCTGTGACACATACCCCACATGAATTCTAACAAAGCATAGCCAACACTGTGAAGATGCTGCTGCAGTTGGTGTCACTTGCTGGGTCTCCCTAAGACTCTACTGCCCCATACAGTTTAAGTCACCGATGGCAAGAGTCCTGTGAGAGTAACCTCTTTTCAGAAGATGTGTTTGTTGAAGCAGAAGTCGGCTTTCGAATTTCACACCAGGGGGCTCTGCCATTTAGACGCCACTTACCTCCCAGAACAGTTTGTGGAGGGCAGTGCTTGCGTGGATGGATGACTGTCGCAGTAGTCACGGAGAACGTGGCTGTGAAAGCAGCCATATGTAGCAGTGGGTGTTCGCTGGGCCCTGTGAGCGTCCTCATTTTGATGGGGGGCTGCTGCTTCCTGCGAAACCCAACCCCTCCAAAGAGGACGCTAGGTATGCCTGGAGATTTCCTTGGCAGCCAACACATTGGCTGCCAAGCTCAGGCCTTTGGATTGTAGGGCTTCTAATTACTGCCTGGTAAAAAGTGTCCGGGTCTCTAAAAGACATTCCCATAAATGATTTTTTGCATAGATATGCTTTAGATAAAGTACTGCATAGATAAGTACTTTATTCTTCAAGTTCCTATACAACTCAAGTAGAAGTGGATTCAAGGGTCCAAATAATAAATGGGCGAAACATAATGATAATAAATGGGAAGACGAGGAAGGCCTGGAAACCCTCGCCCTGGCCGTTCAGTGGTAGTGCTAGGCCTTCAGCCTCTCCTAAAGCCTGTGGGAAGCTGAGGCCACAGGCAAGAGCAGCCTGGACCCCACAGCCGGGCAGCGGAGGCAAAGCTAGGTCAGCGCCAGTCCCCTCTGGGAGTCTTCTGGGCACCGGCATCCTTCGACCACAGGCCAGAAGCCTGCTCAGCTTGTTTCTCTCCTCCGCACTAGCTTTATTTGTCTTTGTGTGTTATGCCATTAAAAAAAAGAAGAAGACTTCACTTCCAGTGCTTTCACTGCGCAAGCCATGTGATAAGCAGTAGAGTGGCAGCATCGTGATCTGCCTTACTAAGCTTGTGCAGGTCTTCCCTCTGCGTGAATACACAGCACTTACACATCGGCAAGTCTTGGTGAAGGCCAAGCTCAGGGGTCCCTGGAGGCCACCCAAAGACCCTGTAGAAGACAGTTGTCTCAACACTGAGAGGTTGAGCTGTGTGTTTTTCACACACATCTTACATGTCCTAACTGGAAGCCCTCCCAGTTCTCTGTACCAAAAAGCCCTAGGGAGTATCACAGCTGGAGGCCGAGAACTTTGGAGCCAGCTCTGGTGCTGCCTCGCAATGTGTGAACCCTAGGGTACCTCGGCAGGGCAGGAGATAGCCCCAGGGCACGCTGTCTGCAGTTCATAGGCTTTCCTCAGTGCCCTGGTGCCTCTATTGTCCACCTTCTTGGTGAGCACAGAGTCACTGCCCCATGCTTAGATTCATGTAGATTCTGTGAGGTGATGCTGTAGTTTTTAAGGACTATTAAGAATCGTAGCCTGTCACCAATCTTAGCATCTGTTTAGAAGAAGACAAAGATAAACAGGCACTCCTAGGAGAAGAGATCCAGATGGCCGTTAAATATGCTGGACAGGGCCTGCGAGATACCTCAGTGGACTAAGTGCCTGCTTAAGTAAGCACAGGGACTAGGGTTCTATCCCCGACATCACCAGGAGTGCCGAGCCGGCCACTGAGACCAGGCGTGGTGGTGCGTACCTGTAATCCCACTGATGGTTAGGCTGAGACAGGAGGATCATTGAGTCCAAGCTGTGTATGAGACCCTTGTACCAAACACATAAAACGTATGTATATTGGACAGTGTTAAACGTCCTTGCTGAACTTTCAAACTGGAATGCAACTGCACACCTGCCAGGGTGACTGGAGTCCCAAGTGTTGGCCGGGACTGGAAGCAGCTGCAACTCTTAGACATGGCTGGCAGGGGATGGCAATGGTGAAACCACTTCGGGGGAATGTAGGAGCTTCAGAGGCTAAGTACACCTGCTCTGCCACCCATTCGTCTAGGTCTGGGCTCATAAAGATGACTCTGTATGTCCATCTAATGTGTGTGTCTTACTATGAAACACCTGACACCCATGAGTTAAGGGAGGAAAGGTTTTAGCTCACAGTTCGTAGAGGTTTGGGTCCGTATTCAGCTGACTGCAAAGCAAGGCGCCATGGCTGAGGAGACACTGTCCAAGGCAGAGCGAGAGGGAGGCAGGAAGCGGCCAGCTGCCCTTTCCCTTTAGAGTCCATCCAGGCTGAAAGCCTACTGCTTGGCACTGCCCACACCCAGGGCAGGCCTTCCCTCATCCACACCCACCCATATGCCAGTCTTATCACACCCCTTGTTCACATACCCATACCCACGAAGACAGCCAGCTCTGAAAAGCCCCACCTAGGAGCACATCAGGCTTTGGGGTGACACGCGGATACAAACTGTAGCAATGTATAAGGACATTCTTGGGATCATCATTCATGATATCCTAGAACAAAAACCAACCCAAGTGTCCATGGATGGCAGAATGAGCAGACGGATGCTGGTGTGTTCATGGAACAGCGTAACCACACGGCCGGCAGAGGATGAACTGCTATAGAACGTGGGCATATCACTTAGTGCAATGACCAGAGAAAAGAGCCAGACGCAAGTGCCGACTGTGTGGTTCTGTTAACATTCACATCGACTTTTCAGAATAGTTAAAACTAGCGTGACATGACAGACACTAGGAAAGTGACTCCTCCCGGCATGGGGGTTATTTCTGGGCAAAGACAGAGGTGATGGTGGATATGTCACTGTAGCCACAAGCATTCACTCACGTAGATTTGTCCACTTTATTATGTGTATGTCCATTATGGCTCAAGAAAGACAGTTGTTAAGAAAGGTGACTGCAAAGCCTTCCAAAACGTAGGCGTGGACAGGCCTGAGTACTTCCACCTGTGTACCTGTACCACATAGCTGGTGTTTTAGGTCTACAGACCGCGAGGCGGCAGGAACAAGAAAAACCAGAGGGGCGTAGTCTTCAGCTGTGCGCTGTTAGCCTGTCTCCCCTAGACAGGCTCAGGGCCGCCACCTTGGAGAGCTCAGTGGCGTGGATCTCACACTCATCCATCAGGAATTCTCCCTGTGCCGGGCACTGTTACTGAGCAAAGTTATGGCTATTGGTTGGACTCTAATAGCAGGACTGGTGGGCTTCTTTCCCCAGGAGTTGCTGCTAGGGAGACAGCTCAAGCCCTGAAGACTCTGGCCCAGGCTGCCCGGGGGGTAGCCGCATCCACAGGCGACCCCACGGCTGCCCACGCCATGCTGGACTCTGCCCGGGACGTGATGGAGGGCTCTGCCTTGCTCATCCAGGAAGCCAAGCAGGCCCTGATTGCCCCGGGGGATGCAGAGAGTCAACAGAGGCTGGCCCAGGTGAGCTGGGCTGGGATCAGTCACCGTTAGCGCACCCGTGTTGGCAGCCTGCCTCCCAGGTGTGTTCTGGTGTGAATACTCGAGTTCAGCAGTGTTTTCACAGCCTTCCGGGGTGCCCTCAAGTGCTGGTCACACGGGACACTCATGCTTGTAAGTCCGGGAGGTCTGGCGCCTGCTGATGGCCTGCTCACTCGGGGCCGTCTGTGCTTTGTGCATTCCTCTTAGCCAGAGCAGTGAGGTAGCTGTGCAGGCTCCAGCTACTTGCAGGGTTGTACCTCTGACTTTCTGTTCCCCTTTGCCTGGTTCTTTGCCTACCTGATGAAACCAGTTGGCTAGGGCCCACCTGGGGGAAGGCCTAGACCTGGAGCAGGGAAAGAGTTGCTTTAGATTAACGGAGAGGACACAGCCCATCTCCAGAGACCAGACTTGGCTCGCCTCTGGACTGAGGACACGAGAGAGTGCAGACGGGAGCCACTTGGAGGACACCAAAGAGTGCAGAGGGAGAGTCGCTTGGACGTTCTTACGAGGCAGCGCCAGGCTGGTCCGGAAGTGCTGGCAGCACCATCTACGCCAGGCAGAGTGAGGCTTGGAGCTGAAACCTGCCGAAAGCTCCAGGCCGCCTCCTGCCTCGGTGACCTTGGCGGGAATCTCAGAACAGGAGCTATTCCCACTGTTCCTGAGACAGGATGCCTGTGTTTCGGAGCCCGGCCTCACGCTGGAGAACTCCGTTTGGGTCACGGAGCTATACTTCAGCCTGGCTTTGGGGAGCAGAGGGGATGTGCTGCGCCACGGAATGCCACGTCCCTCGAGGGGTGGACGTTTGCTTTTGGCCAAGAGACCTGGGTGAGGTGATTTAATGTGGTTAGCAGTGTAGGGTAGAGTCCGGTGGGGAATTTTGTGTCCGTGTCATTCTGCATATTTTAACGGCTCGTTTCCAACCAGTGAGCGAGAATTACTAGTGCTGAAAGCCGCCTTGTGGTGCTTCTCTCCCTCCATCATGCAGGTGGCCAAAGCCGTCTCACACTCCTTGAATAACTGTGTGAATTGCCTCCCTGGGCAGAAGGACGTGGATGTGGCCTTGAAGAGCATCGGGGAGTCCAGCAAGAAGCTGCTGGTGGACTCGGTGAGGCGTCCTGGCTGGGAGGGGCCCTGGGAGAGCCGGAAGTGGACCAGGTCTTCCTCCTTCCACGGGATCTCTGAGCAGCTAGCACTTGCCTTAAGAATCCTGTCTTTCCTGCCAGTCTGCCCTCCTCTCGTTTTGCTTTCTGATCAGCACGTCCTCTTCTTTCAGCCCACGTTCCTATTTGCTTTCCAGTCATTCCAGTGAGACAGGCGAGGATGTGTGATTCCCTAGCACCTAGGACGCGCTAGGCAGCGACACCCGGGTGATGAGGAATGCAGTGTCTGTGGCACTCGGAAAGAGCAGGGGGCCACAGGAGCCCCATCTGGGGCCGGAGATGACAAAGAAGAGCCCGTGCTGCTCATCTCTGTCTTCCCTGGGCTGGTGCGCAGGCTCTGCGCAGGGGTAGCTAACGGAGCGTGGCTCAGCTCTGGGACATTTTACTAATGGTAAAAACTCTACACATGACACTGGTATTCTGCACAGGTGCTATTAAAGACTGCTAGTAAAACAGTATTGGTGGCTGTTAGTTTGGAAGAATGTGACCCCAGGTTGGATAGCAGCAGGCTTTCAGTCCTAAAAAGCTAAAACTTTTTAGTCTCCATCTCAAAAGAGAAAAATAAGGTGGTGGCCCAGGACATGGATCATGGAGTCGGGGCCTGGGTGTGAATCCTGGGCCTGTCACTTGGGTCAGTGTGACCCCTCCCCCAGGTAGCTGTTCTTAGCATAATCCAGACCTGTATTGTCTAACTTTGAGTAGATGGTCCATGATAGTAGATGGAGAAAGGGAGGGAGAAAGAGAGGGGAGCAGGTGGGTGGGTGGGAAGGCAGGCGGGCGTGCTGAGATCAGATTCCACATGGCTTCATACCACACACAGCCTCCCAGTCTTGATGACTCAGAAGCACATCCCTGGGAAGTCTTTCTTCATTCCACAATACTTTCCTTCATCCCTGTCATCACAAGGTGTAACTTCCCATGGGCGTGCCCTCTGTCCCCGTAGCTACCTCCGAGCACGAAGCCCTTCCAGGAAGCCCAGAGCGAGCTGAACCAGGCAGCGGCCGATCTGAACCAGTCTGCTGGGGAAGTTGTCCACGCCACCCGGGGCCAGAGCGGAGAGCTGGCTGCAGCCTCGGGAAAATTCAGTGATGATTTTGATGAGTTCCTTGACGCTGGCATCGAGATGGCTGGCCAGGCGCAGGTGGGTGTGGAGGCCGCCCTCTGAACTGGCCTGAGCCCTGCCCCCTCTGATGAACTGTCTACCCTGGAGGCCCCTGGGGTGATGGGGAATACAGAATCTGTGAACAGGCCACAGTGCTTTCCTTGTGCTGTTGAAGATGTGCGAAGACCTCACAGGCCTGGCATTCCCAAGATGCTATCAGCCTGTGTGTGAAGTCTCTTGGTAATGAGGAAGCACTTTTCCCACGATCCTCCAGCAGGATCATCCCTTACACAGGCCCTTCAGCAGGAAGGGGAGGAGGGGGACAGTGTCTAGCAGAGATGAGGAAGGCTCGTGGAATGTGAGATAGTAGAGTAAATGTATGCGCTTTGGATCAGTGGGCTCCTTTGAGTGGACTGCCTCTAGTACTGAATGATTAAATGTCAAGTGATTAAATGTGTGCTGCTGCAGCCGAACAGGTAAGACAGATAAGCCCCTCACTTAGAACAGGAGAACTGGACTGGTCTGGCGTCAGCTTGCCAGGCTGTTTTCTGAGCTCCTTGTGAACTCTTAAAAGCCATATGCAGGGTGTTTCTTCCTCTATTATCCACAAATGGTCAATTCTCAGCTGGCTAGCCAGGTGAGCAGTGTGTGCCTTCCTGAGGCAGGAACTTCTGGGAATGCTCGGTGCTGTGACTGTCGCGGTAGCACCCGTCATTTGTGCCAGGCCGAGACGCACAAGCTGCTTGACAGCTCCAGCGTTGTTGA